GGGAGCTCAATTATTTTTATTGTGTTATATGTAGATGACATACTACTTATTGCCAATAATACTATCATATTGTAATGTAAAAGATTGGTTATCTAAAAATTTCTCCATGAAAGACATGGGAGATGCAGCTTACATTCTAGGAATCAAAATCTATAGAGATAGATCATGAAGAATGTTAGGGGTCTCCTAAAGCACGTATATTGATAAAGTATTAAAGAGATTTAGTATGAAAGAATCCAAGAGAGGACTTATTTTAATGACACATGGCATAAAAATTTTCAAGGCCGAGTGTCCTAACACACAAAATGAAAGGGAAAGGATGAATTACATTCCTTATACATCGACTATAGGATCTATTATGTATATAGTTTGATGTTTTATATACTTTGAGTATATATAGTAGATATCAAGCTGATCTAGGTAAAAAATATTGAATTATCGTAAAAAGCATTTTTAAGTACTTAAGAAAAACTAAGGATGTTTTCTTAATTTATGAAGGAGATGAACTAGTGATGAAAGGGTTCACAAATGCTAGTTTTCAAGCCGACCATGACGACTTTAAGTCACAATCATGATTCATTTTGCAATTGAATAGTGGTGTTTTTAGCTAGAAAAGTTCTAAGTGAGAAATAATGGCTAACTCAACAACTAAGGCTAAATACATTGTAGTCGTAAAAGCAAACTAAGAAAGTTATCTGGATTTATAAATTTCTGTCTAGACTAGAAATGTTCCTATCATTGTTAATCTAATAATATTGTACTATGATAATAATGAAGCTATAGCACAAGCTAAGAAACCAAGGTCTTATAAAAAATCCAATCATGTACTACAACGCTACCACCTAATTAGAGAGATTATCAGTCATGGTAATATAAGGATAGAAAAAGTCCGCACTAATGACAACATAATTAATCCCTTGACTAAGCCTTTGTCACAACCGAAACTTAAGACTCTTACTCGATCGAGTGGGAATAAGAGATATGGTCATCCGGTTCTAGTGTAAATGGGAGATTTTAGTATAGGTGCCTACGATCCAACCTTGATTGGATAGTTTAACTTATTATAACATTGTATTATTTATTTATTAATAATAAAAGAAGTCTTTTTATTAATTCTTATTATTTATTAACTAGAATTAGATAGAAGTTCATATGATATGCATTTGCATTAATGATTGATTGAAAGATGTGAGACAAATATTAATGTACTTAAATGATATCATTAAATATCCTAAGTTAGTAGCAATGTCAAGAATGGATATTGACTATATATGGCTAAACTTGTGAGTACTATGCTCATGCTATAAGATAACGAGTAGGAGATCTTATACCTATTGACATGGTGATGTCAAACTAAGCACTTAATTGATTTATGTACTTTAATATCATTGGACTTGACTCCCCATGAGAACCTATTTGGTTTAGTCAATGGGAATCTTATACAAGATAGATACAATCTGGTCATTTGACTTAAAGTTATGATAGTTATCCGATTAGAGAATTTATATACTTTCATACTTGTTTCAATGGATCCAACGAAATGATTGCACGTGGGTGATTTATCGGGTGCACTAAGAATCTAATAGAGATAGGTAAATGATTAAGATAGGACATGTCATTTCTTGCATGCTAAAGGAATTATCATATTGTACTTCGATAAATATCTCGCTCAAGAAATCTATGAACATAGTAAGAGTACACCAATAAAGTATAGTTGATTTACTCTAAAAGCTAAGATATTTGAGAATCGAAGAAAACTTATATGATCATAATCGAACGAGTTCAATAACTAAGTTCTAGATCATATTGTAATAAGTTAACATAAAGAATGAATTGTATGATAACCATGTTTATGAAAGATAATTGTGGATTTATTAATCCTTCTAGAGAATTAGGTAGTCATGACGCCTTGCTAAAGGCCAATTTTGATTTATGTATCAAAAGATAAAAAACGTGTCTTTTATTCTTGATACATTACCAATATATCTAGGACTCTATTGAGTCACACGTATAAGTTTAAGCATTCACATTAAAAAAAAAACAAAGATATTAGAAAAAGTTTTCAATTTTGAAATTTTCCTATTTTGAAAAAGTTTTTGAAAATGGAAAGTTTTCTAAAATGGAAGTTTTCTAAAATGAAAAGTTTTTATTTTAGAAAATCAATTTTCTAATTTGGAAGTTAGTTCCAAATTTGAAAGTAAATTACCTAGAAAAGAAATTAGTTTCCTAATTTAGGTTTAAGAGTAATTTGAGAAATTATTTCCTAATGTAGGCCTCCTAAAAATATTTGACCTAATTTATTCGGATAGTCCAAATTAATTAGTATTAATTGGATCAAAAGAATTTAGGCCAATAGACTTAATTTAAAAGCTTATAATATATTTTGGTAAGAGGATAAACATGAGCCATGTTGGATAAGGCTCAAGGTTTACATAGATAAGATTAAATAAAGCCCACATAAGCAACACTTCCTAAACCTTTTAGGAGATGTTATCGTTACCCTCCTTATAAATAAAGGAGAGAGGTGGCATCAATGACAATAAAGAGAGAGTGATAAAGCCAAAAAGAGAAAAAATATAGAGAAAGAGTTTCCTTCTCCAAAAACCAGAGTTGTCGCATCCTTTCTTAAAAAACTTAAGTTGTCACAAAAATCATGATTTGATTTCTAGAGTAAAATTAACTATACGGAAGAATTAGAGCTAGCACTCTTTGAATTCCGTGGCTTTCTTTGTGGGTGTTTAAGCTGCGTGAATTATCAATAGAGACAAGACACTTGGACGACTCTTTTTCTACAAAGGTTAAATTCTACGTTACAAGAGGTAATCCTTAACTTATGCTTTAATTCTTGTATATATGATTAGTTAATTCAACGGGTCGATCTTGGGAGCCTTAAATGGAGGAAAAAAATTTTGTTTTATTCCGTACCTTCATAGGATGCATGATCCTTAAAAAACTCCAACATACAAGTCCACATTATTTTAAATCATTTTTACTTGCTTTTCTAAGAAATTGTGGCATATAAGTCCACATCATTTTATAACTCTAAAATATGAGTCCATGTCATTTTAAATCATTTTTACTTGCTTTTTAAAAAAATCATGGCATACAAGTCTATGTCGTTTAAAACTCTAGCATGCAAGTCCATGCCATTTTAAATCATTTTTTCTTGAGTTTTTTTTTCTTTTTTGTTTTTTGAATTTTCTTGATTTTTGATAATGTGATTAGGCTCTTTTCGGGTTCGACATGTTTACTTAAGAGTGAGAATAGGGTCCTTGATCGACCAAATCTAGAATCATTCGATTGATTAATCTTAAACTTGGTAGCAAACTCACTCAAATAAGCATACATTTTCATATTAATAAAAATTAGAAATTATATTTAGATTTGTTTGTGATGCAACCTACATGAGGTAGAACATTCAAGAGTAATTGTTGTCTTCTCTTTACATAACTAACCCCTTACCTAAGAACTCTAAGCAGACTAGTCATTTAGGTTTCTTAATTACTCTTAATACTAGGTGACAACTTCTTTTTCTACTCGTTTTTTAATTTGAAGCTCGTTGTTTCAATGTTCACTGCGACAACTATTATATGTAAAAACCTTTATAATCCTAGCTAAACTAAGGAAAATAAAACCATTTTGATTTCCTTTATAGTTGACATACTATTGAAAAGAAATAAATACAAGACATGGAAAAAAGTACCATGATCAAATTAAGTGATCACTGCTAGAGGCTATATGTAAGCAATGGTTAATGAAACCAGCCCCTTTTCCCAAAATTTTCAAAAATCACTTTAATTCTTGAAGTTTAAGTATGTGTGTATATATATACATACACACTTAACCCCCTAATTAATTCAATCTACCCTCCGATCATTTTCACCAACATCTTTTAAATCTCACTATCATCCTCTCCAACAACCATGATAATATATACACTTAACCCCCTAATTAATTCAATCTACCCTCTAACCATTTCCACCAACATCTTTTAGATCTTTTTATTGTCCTCTCCAACAACCATGATAACATATATATATATATATAAACACACTTAAGCCCTTAATTGATTCAATCCCTCTCTCCCTCCTTTGACTATTTCTACCTACATCTTTTAGATCTTACTATCATCCTTTCTAATAATTATGATAATTTTTTTCCTTATCCTATCAAAAAGAATAAAGTCGTAACTGTCTTCTCTATTAGCAACACTTGCTTGCCACCAACTAAAGGAACAAAACCATTTAAAAAAGCTTTTCACTCCTTTCTCGCAAAGATTGGGGATTAATGAAGATCAATTGAGCTTCCTCCTTCTCTCTCTTTGTTTATTTATTTTTTTTTTATTATTATTATTATTATTATTTCTTAACAAAATTTGAGAGCTCGGCCCCAAAGATTGGGCCCATCTGAGGCTGGGCTCATATGTCAGCTGAAATCACCGGGCTAGGCCAGGCTCGACCCAAGCAAAAATACATGATCTAGGCTGTGATAGAACCCTATTCCAGCCGTGAACGGAACTGGAGAAGGACAATTTAGTAAGTTGCCCTGCTACAAGCCATCAGCTTCATTCTGTTCTGCCTAGTATAAAAAAGCTAGCACTCTTCTGTTCCCTCTTCTTCTTCCCGTACCAAAAAAAAGAAAAAAAACAACAACAACAACAACAAAAATTATCCTTCTCCTTCTCGTTTTTATATATTTTTTAACTTTTTTCTGAAATTCTTACATTGCTTGAATCCCCACTTTTTCCTTTCAATTCCACTGTTATTTTATCCCTTAAAAATCCCATTTCAACAACCTCTTAGCTGTCATTTCTCTAAACTTGTAAGAAACCCATTTTTGTTTTTTCTTAAGTTTCATTCTGGTTACCCATTTTGATTTTGATTCTCTTCATCCTGTATCATTGATCAAGTTTGCATTTTGTTGTGCAAATTGAGAGAATTTTACCATTCCTCTCTTTTGTAATTTTTTTTTTTTTGGATTTCAATTGGGTTAAATTGGCAATGGATAACAGTGGAGAAGCGGTGGATGATCAGGGCTCAGGATGGTTTCAAGTGAAAAAGGTGTTCCTTTTGTCGTTCATTATGTTTTGGCATTGCTTAATTGATAAGGAAGCCTAAAAAGAAAGAAAGAAAAAATATTGTGGGTTTTATGCGTGCCTGTTTTCAATTAAGCTTGTGTATATTTCTATCTGTGGATTGATGGTGTATTTAGCTTTGCTAACTGAGATTCTTTTTCTTTTTTATTTTTTCATTGGGAACTGTTGTTTCATTTTTTGTTCCTTCTTTAACAAAGTCAATTAGGTTAGGATTTTTATTTTATAGCATTTCTAAATTCCTTCGGTTTCCGAGGGCAATCACACCATATGGCCTTGATCTTAATGTCTTTTCTAAGAAGCAAGCAGTTTGTTATTTGTCCTTGGTGTGCTCTTAAGTTTTTGGTTTTCTGTACTTTTTCTACAGAAGCATAGAAGCAGCTCAAAATTTTCTTTGCAGAGCTGTGCTGGGGGATTTTCAGGAAAAAATGGTTCTAGTTATCACATTAACCAGCCATCATCGAGTGAAAAAAACGGGAATTTGCGTGGAAATCGCATATCTCACCAATCAAAAGGAGAGCCAAATCATTCCGTAGATGGCTGTTGCAATGTTGCTAATTCTTGTTCTGTGTCATACCAAGATGAAAGCAGTGTGTTCTTCCCTCATAAATTAGTTGTTACACAACATGGAGAAGATAGTGGACATTCCAAGTTGGCACCAGTGTCGATTACCAATTCTACTGCCAGAGTTGGAGACATCCAGAAAATTATACGGAAGGATAAGCCCAATATGCTTCCAAAGATCAAGTGGGGAGATCTAGAGGATGATGTTTTGATGCTGAACTGTGAAAATAATTCTCAAGCTGATAAACAGTTTTTTGATGACGGAGATACTAATTTGGTGGATAGGAAGCCCGAGAATAATTGTCAGTTCGTTGCACATGTTTCTTCTTCTAGTAACCTCCAAGAAAACAAATCGGTGGCCTCATCAGTAAATGTAGATACTTCTCTTGAGCAGTTGTTTTCATTGACTAATAAAGAAGATATGATTGGAAAAAGTGGTAAAGAGGTTAGTGAAACTTCTTCACAGGATGTAGAGTTGCCAAGTACAGATGGCAGAATGGTTGTCCCAATTGATACTCTAAATTGCAAGGAAATAAACACTGAAATTTTTAAAACAACGGATGATTATTTAAATTCTACCTATCAATCTGGTGAAGAGGGTGTGCGAGCGGCAAAACTTAATGTGCCTGCTGTTGTGTCTGAGGTACACGAGTTAAAGATTTCTGAATTTACTGGTACAAGTATGAATTCGACAATTATTCCATTGGTTAGTGAGTTGCTTCTTACTGGAAACCCTGGACCTGAAAATTCTGAATTACCTATGCAAAATGGGAATTCAAGCGCAGTGGTGATTCCCCAGGACAGTGAGTTACTTCTACCTGAAAAGACTAATCCTGGAATTTCTACTGAACAGGGGATAATAGTGAAACTTCAGTTGCCTGTTATGTCTGAGGGACACAACTCACAAACTTCTGAAGAACATGTTACAAATTGCAATTCAACCACTGCAGTGATTACCAAGGATAATGAGTCACATGCATCTGAGAAGTGTGCACCAGAAATTTCAGGAGAATTTGCTGTGTCTGTATCTGTTGACAATTCTCAGGGGCCAACTGATGTGGCAGTGCATGATAAATTGTCTGAAGTCCAGGCCACCGGCTCCCTCGGAGAAGGTGACATATGTGAAAGCAAAGAAAGATTCAGGGAACGACTTTGGTGCTTTCTGTTTGAGAATCTCAACAGGGCTGTAGATGAACTTTATCTTCTTTGTGAGCTAGAATGTGATGTAGAACAGATGAAAGAGGCTGTTCTTGTCCTTGAAGAGGCTGCATCTGATTTTAAGGAACTGACTACGCGGGTACAGGAGTTTGAGAATGTGAAAAGGTCCTCTCCTCAATCGATTGATGGGCCACCAATTTCCTTGAAGTCTGACCATCGCAGGCCACATGCTCTCTCATGGGAGGTAAATGCTTTCCTGTTTGTCCTATGGAAATGCTATTTTGATTGCTGTAAAATCACTGTCACTGAACTGTCAAAATTAATCAAGAAAGCTAAATAGTATATAAACCAAAATAAATGATCAAAGTAGAACTGATTTTCCAATTATATTTCATTGTAATTCAAAGTTTCTTATAATCAGTATTTTGTTGATTTAATATGAGTATTAGTTTTTCTTTCGTGAGATGAAAATTCCTAGACATATATCTACTTAAGCTATTTTAAATTGTTCAGAGAACATATCATACCCTGTAATGATTTTGCTCTTTTTTTAAAAAAAATAAAAATAAAACGGGAAAACTACATAATAATTTCATCAACTTTGAACTTTCTCTCAATCGAGTATATCAACTTTTATTTTTTTTGTTTCAGTAGATCAACTTTTTCGAAAATAACAATCAAGTTTTTCCATCCAATTTTCTGTTTTGTGATGATATGGGAGCTAACAGAGAAGACTAAATGGCTATATTATCTTTTTTTTCCTTTTCTCGTCCCAAAATGTTATTATTGTTTAATTATTAATTTAAAAAAAAACCCAAAGCAGCTGCTTCGCTTTTTTTCTTTAATTAAGCTGCTTTGCTTTTTTTTTTTAATTAATAATTAAACAATAATAATAATTTGGGAGGAGAACAGAAAAAAAGTTATTTAGTCTTCTCTATTAATTGCCACATCATCGCTAAATGGAAAATTAGATAGAAAAACTTGATTGGTGTTTTCGAAAAAGTTGATTTACTGAAAAAAAAAAAAAAAAGTTGATGTACAGCTACTTGTAAAGGTTAACTGTTAGCTTTTGTTTTTATATTATTGGACATAATAATTAACAGAAAAGCATTTGGTTTCTTCTTCCAATCATTTATAATGGAAAATGAATGAAATTATGCAACTCCTTTTGGCCATTAATTCAATTTTTATTTCCCTCCAAAATTGTAATTTAAAATTAACTATGTCTGGTGTCCAGACTAGCTTGTTTTCTTTGAGCTACCAACAGACATTTCTTCAAGTGAAGCACAATTCATGACTGTAGGATACCTGGCAGTGTGGCATGTGCACTGAGTATCTTGTTACGATACATCCTTCGCCTTAATCAGATTGTGTGTTGGGATGGTTTATAACATATGGAAACTTCTTTTATCACCAGTCACTTATATTTAGGAAATTGTGCACCCATTCACCTTGTTTGTGATTTTGGGGTACTGTTAAGCAGGTGATTCGATGCAAGTGTGATTATAATGCATTTGCTTTTAGGTAGACAATAATTATTTATTATCCTATAACCATCCTATTTTTCTACCGGGAACTTTTTTTCTCTTTTTAGTTTTGGCATGATCGCAGAATGCATTTGTGATATTGTGTGCACATCCTCTAACCAACTTGTTACAAACGGCCTTTAGCTTAACTATACTTTGTGTGGGGATATTTGCATTGATTCCCAGAGCTATCTTGAAATTACAGGCAGGCACTACCCAAAAGTTTGGCAATTTGATTGAAAAATCTCCTGTTTTTAGAAATACCACACAATCACCCTTTATCCCAAAATACCCCTATTTATATAAAAATGTCCCTCTATGTTTAAACTGACATTTTGTTTATTATTTTGGTTATTTTGATAACATAATCTCAATATTAGTTAATAATTTTCTTTTCTTAAAAAATCAATTAATCCATTAGGGTATTTTCCAATGACTCTTAAAAAATATTCAATAATTCATCTATATTCAATGTATTTAAAGAAAATCCATTAGCTCCCCATGCATATATATAAATCTAATGAATTATTTAATTTTTTAAATTTATCCGAAAACAATCACTAGAATATTAACCTAACAGATTATTTGGTTCCCCCTTCCCCCACCCCCCCCCCCCCCCCTCTCTCCAAAAAAAACTAAAATTTTGGTTAACTAACATTGAAATAATATCAATGATATTTAAATTAGCTGCTGTATGGACAAAAACTGAATTCTAACTTAGTAAGGGAATTTTTGGTGTAAATGGGGCATCTTGGACATAAAATGTGTTTCTATCAAATGATTGCACTTTTAGTTAGTGCCTGTAATTATATGATATATCAGGGGGTTTAGTGTAATTTACTTTTTATAATATATTGGAATTCTTTTGATCACCTGGTTACTTTATGTTTGGGAATTGTACATCCATTTACTTATTTTTGCTTTTGGGTGCCTGGAAGTAGTTGATTCAAGGAATGATATTTTATTTCTAATATGAAATTTGAAGTGAATGATTAGGTTTTCTTCCTATAATTAACTTTCTTGTAACTAGCTCTCTTATTTGAAAATGGTTATTAATTTCATGCTCATTGCAGGTTAGGAGAATGACAACTTCTCCTCACAGAGCTGAGATACTATCTTCATCTTTGGAGGCTTTTAAGAAAATTCAACAAGAAAGAGCTAACATGCTTGAAGCTAATAATGCAAAAATCCTGGGGCTAGAATGCTCCAATCTCCATGAGGTATCTGTTCATAATCTCAATAAGTCAGCTGGGAAAAGTGATGTAATACTCGGTGCTAAAGATTTAGCGATGAAGTCAAGGAAACAGAGTGGAGTTTCATATTCCACTCAAGGAAACCTGAATGGTGAGAAGCGGAACATCGACTTAGGCAGGTTCAATAAAGTAAACTTGGTAAAAAGTAGTCATGACCCTCCACGCATTGTATCGTCTTCCACTGCCAATCCATCCATGCTACTTTCCAGGGATAGTTCTGCCTCTGGTTCTGGGAAGGGCAAACGAGAAACTGAGGCAGACATGCTGCTTCATAAGAAAGAAAAAATGTTGTCAGAAATTGCCATTGAGAAAAACCTTAAATCTGCAGAAAATACCACTAAGAAGCAAATTCCTCATTCTGAGAAAGACAAGGAAAGGAGAAATTCTACTTCATGGAAATCAATGGATGCATGGAAAGAGAAGAGGAATTGGGAGGACATTCTCTCATCCCCTTTCCGTGTCTCTTCTCGCATATCACATTCACCAGGCATGAGCAGAAAAAGTGCTGAGCGTGCTCGCATTTTGCATGATAAACTAATGTCTCCTGAGAAGAAGAAGAAAACTACTTTGGATTTGAAAAAGGAAGCAAAAGAAAAGCATGCAAGGGCTATGAGGATCAGAAGCGAGCTGGAGAATGAAAGAGTTCAAAAGCTTCAGCGCACCTCAGAAAAACTAAATCGTGTAAATGAATGGCAGGCTGTACGCACTATGAAGTTACGAGAAGGAATGTATGCTCGCCACCAGCGTAGTGAATCTCGACATGAAGCATTTCTAGCTCAGGTTGTGAGGAGAGCTGGGGATGAAAGCAGTAAAGTTAACGAGGTTCGTTTCATCACTTCTTTGAATGAAGAAAACAAGAAGCTTATGTTGCGTCAGAAACTTCATGATTCAGAGTTGAGGAGAGCTGAAAAACTTCAAGTGATAAAAACTAAACAAAAAGAGGATATGGCTAGAGAGGAGGCTGTTTTAGAACGCAGAAAACTTATTGAAGCTGAGAAGTTGCAGCGTCTTGCTGAAACACAGCGGAAAAAGGAAGAGGCGCAAGTTAGAAGGGAAGAGGAACGCAAAGCATCAAGTGCAGCACGTGAGGCAAGGGCAATCGAACAACTTCGGAGGAGGGAGGAAAGAGCCAAAGCACAGCAAGAGGAAGCTGAGCTGTTGGCACAGAAATTAGCTGAGAGACTTAGTGAAAGTGAACAGCGTCGCAAGTTTTACCTAGAGCAAATACGGGAGAGAGCTTCTATGGATTTCAGGGATCAATCTTCACCTTTAATGCGCCGATCAATGTATAAGGAAGGTCAAGGCCGAACAACAACAACTAACAGCTGTGAAGATTATCAAGAAAACAGTGTTGGAGGGGCAGGAAGTTCTACTCTTGCTGCAGGAAATGCCTTGTCGCAACATTCGATGAAACGACGGATTAAAAAGATTCGGCAAAGACTTATGGCTCTCAAATATGAATTCACAGAGCTTCCAGCTAGTTCTGAGAATACTAGCATTGGATATAGGATGGCTGTAGGAACTGCCAGAGCAAAATTTGGGAGGTGGCTTCAAGAACTTCAAAGACTTCGGCAGGCAAGAAAAGAAGGTGCTGCCAGTATTGGTCTAATAACAGCTGAAATGATCAAGGTACTCGCTTTGGTCCTTTATGATATTCAGAAATTATTTCCCACTGTAGAGTAAGATGGTATTACGATGTTCCAAATTTTGATAATTTATAGTGCTGTACCCTTATGCTTGTTTTTGCTAAGGAGGTGGAAGTTACCTTACGGTAGGACATCAATTAAAAGTTGCAATCTTGATCAATTTGTACTGCAATACTTGTTTTGGTGGAAGCTTTTCAGGGCCTCTTGTTTCTGTTTCCCTTTTTCTGTTAGAAGGGAGTTTGAGGGGATTTTATCTGCTGAATTTCTAATTTATTGCTTGTAATATTTTTTTAATCAATCAGTTTATGGAGGGTAAGGATCCGGAGCTGCAGGCTTCTCGACAAGCTGGTCTGCTTGATTTTATTGCTGCTGCTCTGCCTGCTTCTCATACATCAAAGCCTGAAGCTTGCCAGGTCACAATGCACCTTCTGAAACTTTTGAGGGTGGTTCTCTCAGCATCTGCAAACAGGAGTTACTTTCTGTCACAGAACCTCTTACCCCCAATCATCCCCATGCTGTCTGCAGCCCTTGAGAATTATATAAAGATTGCTGCTTCTTTAAATGTCCCTGGGAGCACTAACATGCAATCGACCAAAACATCAGTTGAAAATTTTGAATCAATCTCCGAAGTTCTGGATAATTTCTTGTGGACGATTGGGGCAGTTATTGGTCATGCTAGTTCTGATGAACGAGAAGTCCAAATGCGAGATGGCTTGCTAGAGCTATTGATTGCGTACCAAGTTATTCACCGACTGCGGGATCTTTTTGCACTTTATGACAGGCCACAGGTGGAAGGATCGCCATTTCCATCTTCTATTCTCCTGAGTATACATCTGTTGGTGGCTATAACATACAGACCTGGAACTAGTAGTTCCATTAATTGGGAATCTTCTCCAGTCCAGACGGTGCTAGGATTTGAAAATCAAGAGACTAAGCCCACAGAAAGTGTTGATTTGCAGTATTTCTCAGTAAATCAGACTTCTGAAGATTATAGACATCCACAATCTGTACTAAATTGTAGCATAGCTGTATCACCTCCAGATCTGTCACAGGATAGACAGTTAGATGAGTCCTGTAATACAAATGAAATTAACGAGTCAGTATTGATTAGCAGAAATGGTGAAAAGAAGCCATATAGTTCTGTTGAGTTGAATATTGCCAACACAAACACAAGAGACGGTCTAGATGAAGCTCAGAAAATTTTGATTGAGGAGAAGGATGTGAAATTCTTGGTCAATGATTGTGCAGAACAAAAGAATAATGCCATGTTGAACATGAAGCAACCGGTGGCTTTTCTTATTTCTGCCATATCTGAAACTGGACTAGTCAGTCTTCCTTCTCTGTTGACATCAGTGCTACTTCAGGCTAACAACAGATTATCCTCAGAACAGGTAACTTGTTGCCAGCTGCAAATATATCTCTATGGCATATCCCCCCAGTTTTGCAGCGATCAATTGACTGCTCTGAGAATGTTAGTTTTATGCTGTTCTATGTTATATTCTGTTATTATATTTGTTTAATGTTGTACAAAATGTCTGCTAAGCTTTGACTGAAAGCATTCTACCCATTTGTTACCGAGTTAGGTTCATAGTGTAGTATCAATGTAGATATTTACCTCTCATCTTTATGATTTGTTATTTATGTATTTCCACAAGAGTTCCATCATGTGGTTAGAAAGAAATTCTAAGCAAAACCAGTATGAGAATGCTTTTGAAATCTAGAGGCTTTAAGTTTAGGATTTGATAATATGGAATGACTTTATTGTAGAACCAGATTTGAGAAGAGATTCTAAGTACTTCCCAACAGGGATTGAGCCTTCAAAAAGGAACGGCTGTATATGACTAGAACTAGTTCTGTTACGAACATGTTTTTTTACTAGAACTTACGGATGCCAAGTTTCTTACACTAGATCATTACCCAGTTATGGTTCTACAAAAGTGGGATCCTGGGCAGCAGAGAATTTGGAGTCCGTTCTATCTTTCAGCATTTTTCATGAAGTGTTTGCTCTCGAGATTCCAACCACCACCTTCATAGTTGCAATTTGGAAATGGCTGCCACTGTGCTGCATCTGGCAGTTTATGCTAGTGGATAGTTTTTCTAATTAGTGTTCTGTTTAGGCTGATCTTTTAATAACTCGCTTTTATTAAGCATTGTATGAATTACATAATGTTCCTTTAACTGAAGTTTTGATATCCTTCATTCTGTTTCAGGTCTCATATGTCCTTCCATCTAATTTCGAAGAGGTGGCAACCGGCGTCCTGAAAGTTTTGAACAATTTGGCCCTTTTAGATATTATATTCATGCAGAGAATGCTGGTAAGTTAATTCCATTTTTCAACTGCAGATAGATGAGTGGTGGCTTCTCAAAGAACCATTGATTCTTTTAATATCTAGACCAATTTGCAATGTACATCAAGTTTTACTTTTTCTCTCTAATGTAACCCTTCTCTCTTTTTTTCGGGAATTGTTAACAGGCTAGGCCAGACCTGAAAATGGAATTTTTCCATTTGATGAGTTTTCTTCTTTCCCATTGCACCAGCAATTGGAAAGTAGCTAATGACCAGGTAATTTTATGTATGTCATTGCTTTTAGTTCAGGGACCAATACACAACATGTTACCTTGCGTCAATTTAAAATACAAGATGATGAAAAACCTGCTTAGTTTATACACGAGCATATGCTTAGAAAGCATGATGGTGTCCGTGTGATTGAGTGCCGAGCAGCTTGGACGTAAATATGAATCAGTTGTTAAATGAAAGAAATCAAAGAACTTCAAAAATGGAATTTGTGTTGAAGAATGAGAACAAATCAATATTTGGTTTTCAAACATAGCATATTTCTGAAGCAAATATTGTGAAGAGAGCTTGAAGGTTGGATGTGTTGGCATAAAAAGGGATAATTTTCATTGATTATTGTATGAATGTAGATGAAACTAGGTATTAGCGGGCATTTACAACAAGCTAAATGCTTCTCTGCATTTTGTGCAATTTGTCTTAGGTTGGGTTCCTTCTGCTTGAATGCCTTTCGCTTCTTGGCTTTTTTGCCTTGTTCCATACGGAAAATCAAGCTGTTCTTCGATGGGGAAAAGGTCCCACCATACTTCACAAGGTCAGTGAAACTAATGAATATCTTCTTTTCTGTCAAGTTACTTTATAGATAAAATCTAATTGTTCAGCTGGAAGAAGACAGATATGCGACTTGCCATTTGTGTTCTTCAGCGACCCCGACTTGATGCCAGTTTTGGCTGGTGCTCTAGTTGCTTCCTGTTATGGGTGTGAACAGAACAAATGTGTGGTTCAGCAAGAATTGAGCATGGATATGCTAGTTTCCTTGTTGAGATCTTGCAGAATTGTTCCGCCAGCAGTAAGATCTAATCCCATCCTAGAAAATTTGTCAACAGAAGATTCAAGTGAAAGTAATCAGCAGATTTCTGAACATAAAAAATCTCAGGGGGACTTTATACAACGATCCTACCGGTACAACTCTAGAAGCATGCGGGTTTCGATGGGGAAAGCCGGTGCTTCTGGAAACATCAGAGGTGGCAAGATGAGAAGCCAAAGAGATGGAAAAACAACAAAAACTAGTGAAGAAATGGCTTTGAAACACAATCCATTAGCACCTCAAACCTCTATGATGTTGCATTGTAGATTCCCTAGCAGCTTCATGGATAGGGCAGAGAAATTCTTTTCAGCAGAGATGACCAACATGGCAGATGAAGTTTGAGTCAACCATGACAGGACTCTTCGAACTGGCATCGGCAAATTCTTTGTGGCACAGGGTAAGAGTTTCGAAGTTTTTGAAGAGAACATACTTTTGTTTCTGTTAATGTGGCTGGCAGAGCAGTCAGAAACAAAAGCTTTTACAAATACACGATCAGGTGACTTGTATGTTCAAGCGCATGGGTTGTCATCAAATAAATAACATTTTTCTGGTACTAACAGAAGGCAGAATCAAGACAGCTAGATGATATATTTATGTGTAATTTATCACAATACTTTTGGTTATTTCCTGATAGAAGCTGGATACCAAGTTTCGAGAGATGCATGTATTGTAAGAAAATGTAAAATCACACCCCTAGTGTTGTTGAATCATCACGTTAGTTTCATCTCATAGTTCCCGTTGTTTGAAGAGTAACTGACTATGCAAGGTTTTTGTTTTATGCAAGGTTACATTTGAGTTGAGCTTGCACCGCATCGACAATGAGAGAAATTTTATGATGCTAAACTTCATAAGAAAAAGATTGACAAAAGGCCAGTGAGAATGAATCTAATGAATATATTCTTAAATTATTTTTTTGTGATTTCAGAGAAGGCCATCCAATGCAGGCTTCAAAACTGTGTAACCCTACTAAAAATGCAACACTGTGTAACCCTATTAATTATACACCACCGAGCTGGGATTGTTGAATGCGGCACTATTGTATGCAGATGCAACAGTGAATTTCTAACTATTCTCCATTTTTGGGAGGCTTCTTCAGTCTTCACTTTTACAACTATGTTTCTTTTCCTAGAGACAGATGCTTCACTGCAGTTCTAATCATCTTTTGTCATGAGCTCTTCTTCAACTCTACACTTTCAGGATTCGTACCTTCTGCTCTAGAGTAGGCACTTCCAGGAACCATGACTAAAAGCTCATCAAATATATCCTCTTGCATTTGAGAATGTCCTTGGCCCTGAAATTGATTAGTGAAGATCATATCAGACTGCAAGTATACTTTTTTATTGAAGTCAGCGAGAAATATCAAGGAATAAAGAAAAAGGATTACAAAGCAAATAAACCCAACAAAAGAAAAGGAAAGCCTGAAGAAGAATGACCAGAAGAAGACCATAATAATAGAAGCATGGACAACGTGAATATCCGAAGAATGATGGTATCTACCAGGGCCAAGCAGGTCTAGAGAATTAGCAAAAGAAAGAAGTAAAAGTATAAGGTAACTATGAATTGTAAAGGAGGGAGTAAGCATTTGTATAATAAATCAACTTCAGTTTATATGCTCAGTGTCACAGGATAACTGACAGTGCAGATTAGGCTAGGTCGTGTGGAAAGACATTAATAAGTTGTTAAAACTCTACTTTCCTCAACATAGATTTAAAAACAAAAACAGGTGTACTCCCTACGTGAATGTTGTTGGTGAAAACTGTTGTTGCCACAAAGTGTCAGCCCATTACTGAAGTCATTATTAAATGCTTTTTCCTGCTTTCCTTTATACACCACCCCATAATCATTAAATATTAAATCTGATAAGGGGGAACAAAAAAGGCAAAAGAACCAAAAGAACCCAAAAAAAAAAAAAAGCAACAAAAAAAAAAAAAAAAAGTTAAGAGCAATTTTGGTACAACAGATTATTCAAACATTAATTTACCCTTTATTAAATTGTGTGAAAAGTACAAAATGGGGACCATAATCATGAGGTAGTATCTTTCTAACTGTATATGTTGAAGTCCGACTCTAATGGTTGGATGGTTAACTTTTACTAGACAGAGGCAAAGTCTGTAATCATAAAACCAATCTAGGTTCCAACTCGTGCGATAGATACTTCCAGGAAAATCTACATCGGCATACATGGTAAGCTTTCCTCAACATAGTATCTTTCTAACTGTATTTAGCAACTTCAGCACTACCATGATATAAAGAGTCCCAAGCTCTCAAATTTACCTTAACACTAGTGGCAGTCTCTTCCATACATTTGAGATCATTCATGATTACTTCAAGTTGCATCTTAGCCTTTGCCCTAGTTAAGCATCGTTCAGCACGTTGCGCTGCAGTAACATTGGAATGGCATGCCACACACAGAGTCCTCATATTCTCTAGTTTACATTCACCTATGAAATTATAACAAAAGTACACTTCAAAACAAAAGCTCAAAACTAACTTGATTAAACAATGCAGAAACAGTAGGAATTTATGTAGTCAACACCAAATGAAGACTCCATAGTAATACTTTAAGGAGTCATTTGCTTACCAAGAATGAAAAGAGCCAAAAGAAAATACAAGAATCAGAATGAAAATTAAAAAATCAGAATGGTATTTTCATCCCAACGTTGTGTTTGAAATAGTAATAAAGAATCAAAATGAAATTTAAAATTTTTAATATCTAATTTTTAAAAAGAATAAGAATAATGATTAAAAGAATAATTTCATCAACTATGATTGTTATAAAAAAGATAATGCTGGTGGAAGTGATAATAGTAATATAGTTATATTAATAATATATTCTAAAAACAGTTGACACCACCCTTATAGAGGTGGCAATGGGAAAAGAATGATGGTGGTTGAGAAATAGTGGTGACGAAGTAATCATACTAGTATTAAAAAAAAAATCATCACCACTACCAATGGTGGCGGAGGCGGTGGTAGTTGTTGAGGTGGTAATGGTTGTTGAAATAGTTAACACATAATAAATAAAAACAATATATCACTATTTTGTAGGGGAAAAAGTCTCATTCCGATTCCTTGTTTTTATTCCCACCTCTATAGAAATGAAATAATGTTTAATTTTCATTCTCATTCCTTTCAACAAACACCAACAAAGCGGAAATAAAACTTCTATTCCATTCCTACCATTTTATTCCTTCCTACCAAACGACACCTAAAAGGCAGCTAAAAAAAAAAAAACCTAATATGAGCAAAAGCAACAATTACAACACTATTAATAATGACTTATCTTTTGACTGGATAATAATGATGTATTTCAATTGAGATTAATTCCTGATACGAATCACAGCTGGGCCTAACAAATTTTTAGCAGAAAAAAATAAAACCGTCTTATTCTCTGTTTGAACAAATAATAAAAATCACTGTTGGGATCTCATTGGCTGACACATTCTGCACATCTGAAACTGTCGAGCTTTTGGTTATTTATATCCTTTGGTTTTTCCTTCCTTAACTCATCTATTGATTTTGGAATATAAAAACCTGAAGCCAGCTTAAGTTCTATTGAATAATGAGTCGTGTTAATAGCAGCAAGTTCTGCCAGAGCCCAATGATAGTGACAGAAATTAAATCCTACATTGATCAGCAGCTGACTCAAGAATGTCCTGGCTGACACACTTAGATAAACTTACCCACAAGATATGCAATGTATCAAGTTGACACCTCAATTATCCAGGATACTGGGTCCTTGAAAGGTTATTACAAAAGATTTTAACATTGGCATACCTCCACCACGGTAAACAGGAACAATATGGTCTGCGTGCCATGCATTGCCCTCAGATGGATCATTGACAAGCTTATCAAGCCTGCACATTTTAAACAGTGAAAATTACTTGGTTTCAGAGCAGTTATTATGATTTTAAAGCACAAATACAATACAATGAATGAAACAACAAAATGATCAAACTATTTTTTTTGCCACAAAAAAAATGTCATTGTCAACACCAGATCAATCTTGCATAGCACAGGTTCGATCTTTCATCTTGAAAGTTGAGTTCCCTTTGCACATGAGCTTATCATTCAGCAATAATGCCTACATTTTGTAGAGCATAACATAGAGCGTCCATCAACCTCTATTCAGAGCAGAACCTCCAGACAAAGAAGAATGAGTAAACCACTCCCTCTATCCCTATGTATGTATCCATCTTTACATTTTGGTATGTCCGGAAATAACTTTCCATTTTGTACAATTAATGCAAGACTTTTTTGAATCTCCCATCTTACCCAAATAAAGTTTAAAGTTGAGGCAATTATTTGAACTTTAAATTTGAATGATAAAGCTAGTGAAAGGGCAATGTTGAAAATTGAATGCAATCGCTATATAAAAAAAGTAAGTATAAAATAATGTCACCTTAAAAGGTTGGACACTTAAAATTGGGAAGAAGGAAGTATATCGTAAATATCAGATGAATAACTCAATTTTCATTAACAGAAATAAAAGCCACTAGGTTCGCTTGTCAACTTACAATTTCTTCTGACTTGCCACATTTGGTGCTACTTTCTCAATATATTCCCGTCGTCTCTCTAATGATAAAGGTTTGACAGTCCTCACAAGTTGATGACAGTCTAGCTGGCAATTTGTGCAGACCCCATGTTCTATTTGAAAAAGCTCCTGGAAATCTAAATTATGTTAACTGAAAGAATTATTGGGCTAGAGTGAGTACGAACGAACAGGATAGCAAATGGTGAAAAGGCCTCTTAATCCTACATTATGAATGGTGCAATTCATATAGTAAGGAAAAAAAAACTCAGATATTTTCAACTTTTCCTCACACCAAAATGAATAAATGAAAATAGAACAATAGGAACAGAAAAAAGCCTATCAGCCAGTCCTCACCTGCCGGAGGGATCTGCTGCTAGTTCTTATGCGATATTCTTCACAGCAGCTGAGATTACAGAATAGATCCTCAAAATATTCAGGTGTCTTGGCATTGCTGCCCCTGAAAGTGACAGAAAGTTAATATTATTCTGATAAATACAATAAAAAGAGCCAAAAGAAAGAGGTGCAAGTTGCAACCTACATAAATAGTTAAAAGAGGAAAAAAAAATAGAAGAAAAATATTCAACACAGAATGAGAGGATATAAATAAAATCACAAAAAATACTTAATACATGATAAATCTGGACTTACATGCATGGCATTTGACAGAGTTTACAGAGTGGCTCATCCATTAACGTCCAGCCCTGAGTGTATTGCTTTTCCTTTTGGCCATATCTACTTGACAGATGTACCTTTTTCAAAATGGCATTTGATGGTAAAGGATGACTGATCTCAACCCATGGAGTAATGCGACGCATGCTTCCACCCTTCAGCAGTCCCTATTACAGAGTTGCATAATTGTTACCAAACCAGTCCATATATTGTAAAATATGCAACATACCCAGGAACAACTTTACATGAATAACAAATATTGCAAAGAAAATGGGCAGGCCAATGACAATAGAGATGAATCAGAGTTCATGTTCACATAAGCATACCCCAATTTTGTGGTTAGCACTTTCATTCAAGTAGCACAACTCAACATGTAGAGGAAGTTGCAAAGTCTTTCCAAGTAATTTCCGTCTTTCTATGGGCCTTAGTGCATTCCACTCTTTAATGAATGTAAGAAGAGCATGCCTGTAAACTGGATTCTCCTCGAGAAATTTAAAAGATGCTTCCTTGTTATCATTGACTGCTGGTGAATTAAGGAACTCAAGTTCTTCTGGTCGGAAATTCTCAAATAGTGGCTGCGGTCTTGAGTCTGTCCCCAGAATGCAGGAATATAGGTGAATCCTTCCAGTATATTTACTTACCTGAACAGCAGGTAGAGTCAATTATTTAAGTTAATTTTCAACATGGGATTTGTATCTTTGATGCTTGTAAGTAAACCATACGTCACTCGGGAAAACAACAGCTTATGACTAATCAGAAAACTTTTGGACCCCTTTATTAAAGTAATGAATGGCTGACGTTGCGACTTCTAGACAAAAATTAGTTTTTCACAGCATAACAGACTGCCCTATTACTTCAAAAGAAACATTACCAATTTCCAAAAATCAGAAGGAAGATATAGAACTAGAGTGAATCAACTAGCAAGGCAACCCCATTGACCAAGTTCATTGTTGTACCTCAAAGCGTAGAGAATATACTTGGTTAGAGCAACTTTCATCAGCTTCATTTTGCTGAGCAAGTTCCCTGCCATTGGGTTCTGTTGTTAGGGCACAAAGTTCATTTTCCTGCAATTAATTTGTAAGTGATTTCCTTTACATAAACTCAAAGGAATGGAGACACGGTAACCTACATCTGAGAAGGCCAATTTTTATGCAATAGATACCTTCTCTGATTGATTATTGCCTTCATTTTCCTCATCAGACGGCTTAGAAGAAGAAAGTCTGCTATCACTTCTAATCTTGATTTCTGAAATCCCCTCTAGGTTTTTATTTGCAACAGAATCCCTGTCTGTTACTTTATCCAAGACCATACTGGCCTGTTAAAAAATTCAATATTCAGCTCATGAAAAGATCAAATATAAATAAACATACAATAGAAGATGCTAGAATATTTGAACCTCATTCAAAAAGAAGAAAAGAAAATTTATAATTTCTAAGTTATACCCCAAGATGAAGATGATCTGTTTGAAATGTGCTACCAATCAACTGTAACGTCTCTTCATTGTGTGTTTCAGAGAGCTGTGAATCCCACACTGCACCAGAGTCTGGCAACTTAACAAGATCCACATCAGAGGACTCTTTACATGAGGCTTTCCCTAAAACTTGAACTTCAGAACTTTTCCAACTCCTAGTTTTGTCAGATTTTCCAAAATAAGAAATTCCTTCTACCTGACAAGATAGATTAATGAAATTCAATCTCCTAAAGAAAATGACTAACCAAAAACCTACCAAATAAATAACTGAAAACAAAGAGCACAATAAATACCACCTCCTAAAATTTCCACTGAACATATCATGACAACCAATATGATACAGCGCTGAAGCAATAGTCTACTCAAGATCTTAAAACAAGGCAACAAATCAGCCCACATTTTATGATCCAGACCGCACGTTCTGGATGGCCATACAATTACATACTGGATCACCTTGGAGAGGGATGAAAATCGTGCTATGCCCCTTTATTATTGAAAATGGTCAAATTAAACCCTTTACAGTAGTTTGGTCATATTGAACCCTCTAGTAACAGTTTATGTTTATTTTAACCCTTCCATCTATGTTTTCTGTTGAGTTGATAATAAGGTGTTTGTTGACCATAACAAGAGTCTGGGTTACTGCCACGTGTACAGTTCAAAGTAAATCGATAATAAAAAACAAAAAATTTTAAAAAAATCATATTATTATCTGAAAAAATGAATAAGTTTTTGTTTTTTTAAATGAAAATTAATTATGAAATCAAGGTAGATTTTTTTCTTTTTTCATGAACATAAAACCAAAAGAGGAAAAGGTTAAACAGAGTATGCATGAAATGCAAACTCTTCCAGGACCGTATGGATGCTCCTGCAAAAACTTGAAAGATCAACTATATATAATACATGAAAGTTCGCTTTAATTTCCAGGAAGATGCTCGCGAGAAGGAACACCAACCAATGGAATTTGAGGAGTCATATTCAATCACCAATGGCAATCCTTGAACCATAATAGTAAAAATCACAGTATCTACTTGGGTTATACTCAAATTCCTATTCCCATTCCTTGAATACATATTTAAAAGAAGCGAAACACAAATTGATAAGACCCCAACCGACAAATCAACACCTTATGGTATCATTTTATTTCTTTTGAATTTGAGCTGGATGCAATCAAAGCCATTCACCATGTTTACCTCGCATCTGACCAAAACATATAAAAGGAAAACCACAAAAATGGAAATAAGAGAGAGAATAGGAAAAGAGAGGAGGGAGAAAATTATGGGTTGCTGAAATCCTGCTGCACTATCATATAAGAATATCATTAATTGACTGAGCTACTTGCAAGGAATCCATTGATTCTATTTGCAGACCATTTTATCACAAAATTGTGAAGATCTAAAAACCTTAACTTTGTTTTTCATTTGGAATTGAATTTGTGTAAGGGATTTTATTTGGGTTGTTTTCAGTGATGATCATGATAAAAATTTACAAGAAAAAGCAAAACTGGGTGGTCATGAAAACTTATCAATTGCAGTTTGGGTGCATTAGAGGAAAAGGTGGCCAACATGTCATTCATGTCCCATTTTTACTTTTATACTAAAAAAACTATGATTATTCATATTTGTTAGATAATAATTTGATGTTTTAAGAATTTTTTTCTTTTAATAATAGATTTACTTTTCACTGTACACGTGGCATTAGTTTAGATCCTTGATCTAGTCAACTAACGGTCCATTGTCAACTTAACAGGAAACATTGATGGAAGGGTTAAATTAACCAAAAACTGACACTAGAGGGTTCAATTTAACCAAATTATTTGTATAGGGTTTGATATGACCAAATTTCAATAGTAGAGGGGAAAAGGATAAAGAAGAAAGGAGACTGGCAAAAGAGGAGAGCGAGAAAAGATGGAAAAAAGAAAAATCAAAAGAGAGCGAAAGGGAAAGCATTGGCAGTGAGAAACTTGACTGAGACTGAGATAGTAGGTTAGGTAGGTTAAAAAGAAAAACAAAAACAGAAAGGAAAGAAAAGAAACAAGGTTGGGCCATTGTTTTTAATTCATCTCAATTCTTTCTTATAATTAAGAAATTACAAACTCAAAATATTTCGGCCTTTTTTTTTTTTTGCCTTGATCTAAAATACTTCAGGTGATTAGTGTTTGCCTTATATACTTCTGCCGGAATTTTGCTGCCTCTATTATTGATATTGTAATGTTCCAGTCCTATATAATCCAACCAAGTTCTATAAATGTACCATGGTCCAAATTAATGGACCAAGACTACCACCCACATACTACAAATTCATCTCAGGGCAAACCAATTCCCTGACCTGAGCGTTCCATGTCACTCAAGACACCCATAAACACCAACACATAGCAAAGGCGGAAAAAAAAAAAAAAACACCCAACAGTTCTGACTTTGGCACACAAAAAAAATTGAAGTTTATAGTGGATTTCACCAATGTGCTTAATTTGACAAAAGTGAGAATCCATTCAAAGGTGATGCTAAAAGCAATTTTTTTAAAAAAAAAATTTACACAACCAAGGAAACTAAATATACTCATGCTAATTGGCATAAAATATATATTTGATTTGCTTTGCAAGTATCAGGACTAAGATTCACCAAATCTGCTCAAGCAAGATGTATATTATGAAGCATAGATTCAAACAGCCATTACATAACATAACGGCCCTTATATAATGGTTTCAAGGCATTCCATTTTCGTTATTCGGAGTTATAGGGACCCTGTTGCCGTTTCAATTAATAACGACGTTATCGTTATATAACGCCATTATTTGCCAAAATGGCATTATACTAAAAAATAAAAAATAAACCATAATTTCAGCCCTTGCACTTTACAGCCTACCCACGTGATTTTTTCCCCATTAATTCAGCTTTGCAGGCTTGAATTTGATTGGAAAAAAAAAAAAAAAAGAATCTAGCTTTAGCACTTTGCAGCCTACCCATATATTCTTGTCCCTATTATTCAACCTTATTTTTGTCCCTAACTCCCTATTATTCAGCCTTATTTAATGGTACCTCATCAAACCAGTCTACTTCAAGTCCACAATATCCTCAAGAAATTAGATCATCCATGGCTGCTTCATTTTTTGTGCAATTGGAGTTGCAAGGGCAATATAATTATGGTTATAATTTTGATGGACAAGGATCAAAACATCAACAATGAGTTGATAACTATTATTACGATCCTCCATGACAATCTTTTAGGAGATGAGGATTTTTTAATGTATATCTTGAAGTTGTAATGTATTTTATTATTTTCTCGTGTGATATTAACCTATTAGAAGTGTTATTAACTTTTTTGTAATAAATCAACTATTATTGTATGATATTAAACTATCGGAGATATTATTAATATGCTTAATTTGTAAAACTATTAAAAATTTATTAACAATTGCTAGGGTATTCACGACATCGATTGCCACGACCATAATTTTACTATCGCGATGAGCCACAACCCGTGATCACAATCGCTTTTTCAAATATGTCCGCGATTTAAAACTATGTTATAAAGGTTTACCATACATAACGTAGAACGATGACATCTATCAATGCAAATCAAGCTAGTGTAAAGGAATTTAGAGTACTAGGACTAGAGTGGAGAAAAAGGCAACAAGTGATACCGCAATTTCTGGAACTGCATCATATTTTCCATCCGTAGTAGACGAAACACGATGCAAACTCTTGTTTAAATTTTGCCAACGTTTTTCGTCCATAGTGTCCTGCAATATGACAAAAATCTTGGCATGCATACAAAAGAGACATAAATTTCTGGACATCCTAAAGCAAACTTTTTAAAAGAAATGCAAACCTTCGCGCAGAAGATGAAAATGTTGACTGCATTTGTTTGCCCTCGCCTATGAGCTCTATCCTCAGCCTTCCAAAATGAGTTTGGTGGAGGTTGTGTATAAAATTTGACAAGCACAAACAAGGGAAAACCTTAGAAATAAGCAACCAAGAAGAAGAAAGGGAAATATGCAGGAAGCATCCCTGCTTGCACTTCCTCTCAAAAAAAAATGAAAAAAGAACTAAACTGATCAAAGAAATTATCTAGAAAATTAATAAATATAAGTCATCATAAGGAGGGTAAGAACAACTTCAAAAAACTTTCAGAAGCTATAGAGAATTGAATAATTTATTGTCAAACTGATTAACAATAGTGAAAATTTACATTTAGTAGTGATCTTCAAATTAATTTCTCAACCAAAAAATTCTGATTTAATTGTTAATTTTTTTTCTATGGAGAATATAAAATTTCACAAGAGATCTGGGTCTGAACAGGATACTTGAGACATGTCTGATAAATTTTGTACCAAGGCATTTTTTTCCCTTGAAAGAAGCTGATCAATACCGCCATCGTTATGGCTAAATTAGAACCTAACTAACTGCAAACAGGAATATGCCTTTTTCAGGTTTTGTTGTAATTGGGAACATAGAGATTTTGCTCATACAGGGATTCTTATCAGATTTAATTATAATGAGTAACAGAAAGCTTTAGATTATACTGCTATGTTTCGATTTCAAGTTTTTCTTTTTCTTTTTGTATTGGAGGAAATTGATAGGAAATCTATTACGCTTTAATTGAAAACACATGTTTAAAGTAATAAATCACACTTTTATCAGTCTCAGTTAGCATCTGATTGTAAGAAACTGCATAACACTGTATTTAAATTTTTTTTTTCAAAATTCATTAAACACATATTTATTGTGATTTTTTAGATTAGCAAACAACAAACACATTACAAAGACAAAACTGTGCCATCTCAAAGGCGAAACAGCATAATGCACCAGGCACACAAATAGTATAGTATCTACTCACGAATATCGTCAAATTGTGCTGCACATAGAGCATATCAATTTTCAAAATGTTCTTGTAAAAGTACTCTTTGTAATAAATATTCCAATACTGTCATTTCTTGCCTCTCACTTTTCCATCTCAATTTCCATGATATGGTTATGCTCAGTACATGAATGCATAGAATCCGATTAGCTGAATTAACAATTTTGAATAAGTGTGGCTTTGACCATCATGAATGAGGTAACAGTAATTCAATATGCATGCATGCTTCATAAATTTCACAGCTACCATGGTATTCCATTGAATGGCAAAGCATCAAGTGGTTAATCAAATGCATGCAGTCAAGTCAAGGGAATAATGGAAATAAAGAGAAAGCCAACAGAGTGACAAGAGGCAAATAGAGATTAAAACAAAATCAAGAAACATTCTACAGCCACAAACCAGGTTTCCAAACTTCATTATCCTTCTTACCCAAACCATTTATTAGCGATCTTTCTTGTAAGTAAAAAGATTTACCAGTATAGAACCTTGCCATTAAACTTCTATTTTAATTTACAACAGAAGTACAAAACTAATGGACACTAATCTGTCATACCTGAAGCATCAATGATGGGGACTGAGGCAGCTCCAAGAAGACAACATTTTGTGCTGAGGAGAAATCAAGTCCAAAACCCCCAGCAGTTATACCGATTATAGCAATCTTAACCTGGCAAACAAAGACATCTCACAGGTTGGCTGCATCTTCAGCATTAAAAACATCACAATATACTTTTGTACATGATGAACTCTGCAGGAAATGATACGGATATTTAAGTAATCATCATAATCAGGACAGAACAAAGGCACGAATTTTTTTTGCACGCCCACATTCATGTGAAAAAGAGAAGGGGAAAAGTAGCATGTAGAAAAGTCTGACACATCAACCTTTCATAAGTGGATACAACTCAACAAAGATTAATGTTATTTTTTGGTGGGCAGATAAGGGGAATCAAAAAATTAGGTCACTAGACAAAGACAGCATCATAACAGCAATTTTGTTACACAAAATTCACATACTAGAAAGCTCATATAGAAAAAGAGAAGAATCAATTGTCAAAAAAAAAAAAAAAGCTACCCTGAAATACCAAAAAGTCATGAGAATAAATTTAAGCCTTACTTAGCAAATGAATTATTAGAATCTCATACTGTGACAAAGCAAATACACAAAGCTGCAAAAACAGAACATGTACGTGCCTCATTTGATGATTGAAATGACGATACGGCGTTTTGCCTATCACTGGGAAGTGTGTTCCCATCAATGCGGACGAAACCAACCCCTTTCTCACATAAAAACTTCTGAATAATCCAAAATAAAAAATGTTATAGTGGAACTTACTTGAGTTACAATTAAACATCAAAAGAGCATCAGTTGTCATCTTAAAGGCCAAGATGGACAAAAAAATCAGAAAGAACAAGGAAAAGTAAATTGCCACCATATCATAAACACTCATATATGAACATGGAGCAATATATCTAAAATCTCACAAGTATCCAATAAATTGTAAGTGCATGTCAAATTAAGTCTCATCTGTCTTCCACATATTCCAATTTGTCATCGAATTGGAAACCAAATCGTTACATGTTACACACTTTTAGTTTTAGAAAATACTAGGTATGGGTAGATTAAATCATTTTTGTCAAGCTAAGCAAGGGTGATATAATCTCAGTTGATCTAATAGTCTCATTTGATTTCATGTTCAATTTTTTTTTTTTTTTAACATTAAGAAATCATATTCCGAGATCATCACAACATGCGTTAAACGTGTTTAAGCTTTTGGTTTTCACCTCTAGACTTGAATAAGAAAGTATCATCAAAAGTAACAAAATTTAAATGGTCAAATAACAGCTAAAAACAAATAAATAAAAAAGGCAAGAAACACTATTAGCTATGATCTCAACCCCACCCTAACCTCAATGTTATCTGTTGCTCATGTTGGAAGTTAAAATGAACATTTTAAGATGAGCATTCATAAAATGAACTCACAAAGAGTGCCGTCATGAAATCATCTATGTGCTATCACCCTGGCATGTGTCTTGCAAACATTAAATATAAGTTCTGCTTATGACCTATGAATTATTACAAAACGGACAAAAAAAAAAACAGGAAATCAGAATAATATTGCTTCATAGTTGGAGATGGTTTTGACTTATCAGAGTTTAGGAATTTAGCAACCCAAGATTCCGACTTTGAGTACTCTACATATGAAGAATTGGAATAGTGTTGTTGAGCTTAACTCAGTAAAATGTTTTAAGAGGCGGAAATAAAGCATAAGTGAAATTCAAGACATTTTTTTAATATTAAATAGGAAATTTTCCTGCACCTTCTATGATGGGGGATGTTGGCAGCAGCCCCCAAAGGTTTATAGAAGACGTTCTAAGAATAATTCCAATGCTTAAGCATTGATTTGGAACATGGGTAATGGTGGAGAACTTAGTTGGGAACTTGAGTAATTGATTAGGGCATTATAGTAATTTCAGATCTGCTGAAAAATCTGAAATTATAGTATTTCTTTTTAAGTATTTTATTAGTGCTAAAGTTAGTTTTCCGATTCTAAAATACGAATAGTTATAGGTTTTACTAGTCTAATTAGGAATAGTTGTGTTAGAGGTTTAGGAATCCTTGTCCTAATTGGATTTGGACTTCTACAACTCTATAAATTCAGCACATATATTCAGTATGCAATAATATCAAATAATTTCCAGCAATTTGCTTTTGATTGTGACTCAATCACCTGTAGGTGTGAGTCCTAAGAACCCTATGTGTGAAGCTTAGGTTTTTCCATCCTCCAGGTGTGACTCCTAGAATTCTACCAACACACTTCCTCAAATTCAAGCAGATAACTACTTCAATGCAACCCTAAACAGCCTCCAAAATCAGATCCAGAATTAGTTGTCCTGCATCATTCTACCAAGTAGACATGCTACTATTCTGAAGCATTAATGGGGAAAGGAGAGGTTGACAGAATGAAAGGAAAAGTGAAATAACCCAGAATTAGTTGCAATGTACAAGTATGAATTCCTAAGAGTAATTGCCATCATTAAACCACATTTAGTCACAAGCCATGTTTTTATGAAGATGTATCCAATCTAGTAATGAGAAAAGAGAACTGGTAAAAGCATCTCACCTGCACTCCATCAAGAACTTTGTGATGATGCACAAAAATTATCATTTTCTGAGAACTGGGGTTTACATCCAATTCGGCTACACCATCTGAATCTGAAATGAGAGGATGAATGGAAAGCCATTCACGAAACCCAGACAATTTCGCAATGCCAAGCTCTTGGTAGGAGAGTTGCCTGGATCCGCAACAACCCCCACTGTCTGAAAGAAAAAGAAATTGGCGCCTGATAAAAAAAAAAAGACTTCTTACATTTGAAAATATAAATTTAAGTATGAATTCTTCACCCAAACACTTCAAGCACCAACCACTTTGAGAGCAGCATTTCAAACTCCCAACATAAGTATCTAATCAGCATTTTTCACCAGTTTGTTTGCTTTATTTAGACATCTCATAATTTGTTTGGATCAATACTATATTATTATAAGAAAAAAGGAATACAAAGCAAAGAAAAGAACAAGATATCCTCTGATAGATAGGGTTTGTTTGCTTTATTTAGACATCTCATAATTTGTTTGGATCCATACTATATTATTATAAGAAAAAAAGGAATACAAAGCAAAGAAAAGAACAAGATATCCTCTGATAGATAGAGAAGTAAAAATACACAGGGTACACTCACTCGTGAAAAACAACTTTTTCATTCATGAAAAGTGGAAAATGAGTTATCAACTCCTCATTCTCCCTCCTATCTAAATCATCAATTTCCCTAAAAACTTCTTCTTCTTACCCTGAGGATCACCAAAAAAAAAAATTTCACTCCAAACACATCAGCCTCTCCATCACAAGTGTTAATTTCTTCATGAAAATGAAAAGGACAACCACCCACAATCCCCACCTTACTCCTGCATGTGAGATCACACATCCACATGCTTCCAAACATAGTTTTAATGCATTGAAGCTATAAAAGCACAGTTGCACTGTTGTCAAAAACAGGTAGCAGTTCAGCAACACCAACACCACCTTTGGACAGCGATCTGATTCTTGGGAACCTAGTTCCAAGATTGGAGATGAGCACCTCACCATTTCGAAGCCATCTACTTAAATTGAATTGAGTTTTGTTCAGAATTTACATTGGTTTTAATAAAAACTGCAAGCTTAATAGTGTTCCAGTACTTTGTGTGCATGTCATATTCACAACTGGATAGCCAAATTGGTGGACTTTGATAGCCTTTGACTTAGAAATCTATCAAGATCCAGACAAATGACATGTGCATCTGCTCCACAGAGAGTGCCTCATCACAGCCTAGGCCAAAACGAGATTTCAAATTCTATCCCAGAACCCTATATATAAACCATTTACTAGTGACCCTAATGCCAGTATCCCACACTGAAAGGAGAGGGTAAATCCAAGTTTGAACAGAACACACATGCCCCAATAGAATTTTTTTCGATAAAACAATACATGAATCGGTAAAACTAAATCTTTGTTCCATTTTACCCAGATAATAGCTATTCCACATTAGTTAACTGAAAATCAAACATTGATGACGTGCCTCAATTTAATCCCAGCCCTAACAACTTGCTCTGCAACTAATATCATGTATGTCACTACCAATAAATTAGAAACCATGGGATAGTTAAAAATAAATAAAAATAAAAAAAGGACCATTTCCCAGCTAGTAACCATAAAGCATCTCCTTCTGGAGGCAGTCACAAATCAAAGCCTTGCCCAAGTAATTTGGCCCTAGATAAATAGATTTTTTTATTCTACTTATCCAGACTATCAAAAAAATAGAACCTCCTGAATTTATCCCTTTAATTTCAAAAATGAATATATTTATATATATATATATATATGGAACATGAAACACAATCTTGTTATTTGGTGAGTTTACAAAATCAATCTCAGAAGCAAGACATGTAGGATTTCATGAATAGACACAAGTTATGATAAATTACCATCAGATTCATCTAAGTTCTCTGAGTTCATCACTTCAGCAGCATTGCTTTCAGAAGCATCATGATTCACCACCCCAATTGAAGCCTTTGCTGAAACTATATCTAATCTTTTCAACAAGAGTCTTATAATTTGCCGACGTTTAGGTGGTAATTGCTTCAGCACATGCGCCTTCAAACGTCTTATCTGCAATAGCAGCATGTCTACAAGTCAGGTCGTTTCTCAAAAGAAACAATAATTAATTACCTGTAAATCATAAAAGTCGGAACAATCTTAAGTGCCTCACCCTGATTATTTTATATTTTATGGTTAAACCATTACTTGTCACATGTTTCATTCAGTAATATTAAATTAGATCACTAGCATCCTGAAATATCTTTTTTCTTTCCTTTTCCTTTAATCAGTCATGCAATGAAGAGTACACTTCCCTTCCATAATCCCCTCCCTTACAAAAAGTTGGAACCACTTCTATGTGGTTTGTGTCAATAGAATTATTCTCATTTATTATTCCTTCCTTATTATCATATTATCATTAATTAGGAGAATATGCTAAGTAAGGAATGTGTAGAAAATTCCTTGATTTCTCGCTTTAGGATCTTTATTTGATTGTATATATTTTCTGCTATAATTAGGTCCTAAGTTGTAAGGATTTGATGTACTCTTAATATCTATATATTGTAAATCTGTCAAGAGAGAAATACACAAAACTTTTCAGAAAAGCTCTTTAATTTGTCATGGTATCGAGCCGGGTTTCGACATTGTTTCATCTTGTTGCCTAGTTTCGTGATTCTAGTATTCTTGTTCTTGGTTATTCTTGTCTTGCTGTTCAGATTTCAATTATCCGATCTGATATCTTAGCCCTCTTTTTTTTACTTGAATCATGTCTTTTGAACGATTTGAGCATTTTTGTGTTCGATTTAATGGCAAGAATTATTCGACTCGGGAATTTCAGTTCCGGATCTTTGTCAAGGGAAAGGAATTATAGGGTCATATTGATAGGACAAATAGTGCACTCGATAGAGAGAAGGAGAAGGAAAAGTATGTGAAATGGGAGGTGAAGGATGCTCGGATTATGTCTTGGATTCTTGGAAGTGTCGAGCCATCCATTCTTCTCAACCTCAAGCCTTATAAAACTTCCAAAGAAATGTGGGGTTACTTGAAGAAAGTTTATAACCGGAGCAACACAAGCACGAAGGTTTCAATTGGAACTTGAGCTGGGCACTCTTGTTCAAGGCAACATGTCGATCTAAGATTTCTACTCTTCCTTTCGGAATCTCCGGGCTGAATACACCGATATTGTGTATGCAAATGTATCTTTTGAAGGACTCTCTCGCTGTCCAAAATGTGCATTAGACCAGCAAACGAGATCGGTGTTTGATGAAATTGAGGGGAGATTTTGCAGGAATCGGATCCAATTTAATGAACGAGAGATCCAGTTCCCTGTTTGGAGATTTGTCTTGGTGAACTTTTAACGAAAGAATAAAGGCCTATTACTCAAGCTATCATGGAGCAGAAAGCTCAAAATTCTGCTCCAATTCCCGTTGCCTATGCTGCTCAAGGGAGATTTAAAGGAAGTAGAGACATGACTAATGTCCAATGCTATAGTTATAGAGAATTTGGGCATATTGCTACCAATTGTACTAAAAAATTCTGCAATTATTGTAAGAAAGCAAGACATATCATGAAAGATTGCTCCGTTCGGCCTCCAAAGAAATCTATTAGAGACTACAATGTCTTGGTTGATTCCTTAAGTGCTTCGGTTCTACTCGCCACGTCCTCTAACCCTACTTATGTTCCTAGTCCCGGTCGGTCCTCTATTACTCTTGAAATGGTTCAGCAAATGATAGTTTTCGCCTTTTCTCGCTTTAGGGATTTCAAGTAATAACTATTCCGCTTCTAAACCTTGGTATTTCGATTACGGTGCTTCAAACCACATGACCAATACTCGTGTTACCTCTTACCAATGTCCAAAAATATAAAGGAAATCTTCATATTCACACAACCGATGGTAATTCCTTACCCATCACGGCTGTTGGTGATATTTCAGCCTCGTTAAATATTGTTTTTGTGTCTCCTAATCTGTCCACTAATCTTATATCGGTTGGTCAATTAGTTGACAATAATTGTAATGTTCAATTCTCAAATTCTAGTTGTGTTGTGCGGGATCAAGTGTCGGGGAAGACGATCGCACGGGAACCTAAAGTGGAACGTCTATTTCCAATATTTTTATCTCCTTACTATCCTTTGTTAAATTCTGTTGTTCGCAATGCTGTTCAATATAATGATCGGGTGTGGCATAAGCGTTTAAGCCATCCTAATTCTTATGTATTTTGTTTGTTGCTTAAATCTGGTTTACTTGGTAATAAAAATTCGACTTTTGTTGATGATGTCAATATTGATTGTGCTTCTTGCAAGCTTGGTAAAAGCAAAACTCTTCCTTTTCCTTTGCATACAACTCGCACCACCAAATCTTTTGAACTCATTCATACCGATGTCCGGGGTATTGCACCGGTGATTTCTCATGAGCATTACAAACATTTTATCACATTCATCGATGATTTCACGCGTTTTACTTGGATTTATTTTTAAGGTCTACAAGTGAGATTTTCTATGTGTTTAAAATGTTTCTTGCGCTACTTGATACACAATTCTTTGCCAAAGTCAAAATCTTGCGATCGGATTCTAGTGGCGAATATATGTGAAATGAATTTCAATCTTTCCTCCAAAGTCATGGAATTTTATCACAACGTTCTTGTCCTTTCACTCAACAACAAAACGGTGTGGCTAAAAGGAAGAATCGTCACCTTCTTGATGTTGTTCGAACTCTTTTAATCGATTCTTTTGTTCCTCCTCATTTTTTGTGTGAAGCCTTGTCTACTCGTTGTTTATTTAATAAATAAGTTACCTTCTCCAACCTTGGACAATGTTTCACCTTATCTTCGTTTATTTGGGCATGCACCAAATTACTCAAATCTTCATTGTTTTGGATGTGTATGTTTTATTCATCTTCCCGCACATGAAAGAACTAAACTCATCGCCCAATCGTCAAGTGTGCTTTTTTAGGATATGCTTGAACACCAAAAAAGTTTTCTTTGCTATGATTCTCATGCTCGTCGTACTCTTGTCTCTAGGAATGTCATTTTTTTTTTGAAAATCAATCTTTCTTTACCACACAACAGATTTCAAAATCTCCTTCTATATCTACTTTGCCATATTTTTCGAGTCTCCGAGCACCAATACAAAGATTTAAGCCTGGTCATGTTTATCAAAGACGATGTCCACCTACATCCGATTCTCCTACGAGTCCCACTGCGATTCCTCTAGATCTTCCTATGACATCGATCCTGTTCTACCGATCGCTAGTGATCCAACTCCTATACGAAGAAGTTCTAGAACTCATAAACCTCCTGACCGGTATGGATTTACATCTCCCGTGTCTTTGTCTACTACTTTGTCTTCTATTTCCATTCCCTCTTGTTATAAACGAGCTATGGAACATGAGTGTTGGCGACGAGCAATGGAAGCGGAACTTCAAGCACTTGAGGAAAACCACACTTGGGATATTGTCTCTTATCCTCCAAATGTCAAACCCATTGGGAGTAAGTGGGTTTATAATGTGAAACTTGAGACCGATGGCTCTTTAGATAGATACAAAGCTCGGCTGGTTGCTCTTGAAAATAAACAAGAATATGGGCTCGATTATGATGAAACCTTTGCTCCGATTGCCAAGATGACCACAATAAGAATTATTATTGCTATTGCATCTTCTAAGTCTTGGCCCTTACTTCGGATGGATGTAAAAAATGCCTTCTTGCATGGAGACCTCAAAGAAGACATTTACTTGAAACTTCCAAGTGGTATGCAAGTAACTTCTCCTCATGAAGTGTGCAAGCTAAGGCGATCCTTATATGGGCTGAAACAAGCCCCTCAAGCCTGGTTTGAGAAGTTTTGCAACACCCTTTTGAACTTCTCTTTCACACAAAGCCAATATGATTCGTCTCTCTTCTTTCATAAGACGACCATGGGTGTGGTTCTTCTATTGATCTATGTTGATGATATAATCATCACTGGTGATAACAAAGGTATGATCACTAAACTACAACACATGTTACATAATACATTTCATATGAAAGATCTTGGACATCTCACTTATTTTTTGGGGCTAGAGGTTCGCTCTCGAGCACATGGGTTGTTCTTAAATCAACATAAATATGTCCAAGACCTTATTGACTTGGCTGGTTTGAAGGATGCTGATTCTATGGATACACCAATGGAGGTGAATGTGAAGTACCGAAAAGATGAAGGCGAGCTTACGCTCGATCCATTTCTTTATAGACAACTACTTGGTAGTCTTATCTATCTAACTATTACAAGGCCCGATATCTCATATGCTGTCCATATAGTTAGCAGATTTATGCAATCACCTCGGCATCTTCATCTTGCTGCAGTTAGGCGCATTATTCGATACTTAATTGGATCCCCTACTCGCGGATTATTATTTCCTACGAGTTCTTTTCTTCACTTGGCTGCATATAGTGATGCCGATTGGGCTAAATGTCCGGATACAAGGAAATCTACAACCGGCTGGTGCATCTTTCTTAGAGATGCCTTGATTTCTTGAAAGTGTAAGAAGCAAGAGTGTTTCTAAATCCTCCACGGAGGCTAAATATAGAGCCATGTCCGCAGCTTGTTCGAAGTTATGTGGTTACGTGGTCTTCTCTCCGAACTTGGATTTCCTCAAACCGATCCTACTCCGCTTCATGGTGATAATACTAGTGCCATTCGGATCACTCGCTAATCCAATTTATCATGAGCACATCAAGCACATAGAGGTGGATTGTTATTACATTCGGGATGCTTTTGATCGCCATCTTATCACTCTTCCTCATGTCACTATTGATCTTCAAATAGCTTATGTCTTTACTAAAGCTATGACGCGCCGGCGACATCGGTTTCTTAGTACCAAATTGATGCTCGTAGACTTACCCGCATCAATTTAAGGGGGATGTCAATAGAATTATTCTCATTTATTATTCCTTCCTTATTATCATATTATCATTAATTAGGAGAATATGCTAAGCAAGGAATGTGTAGAAAATTCCTTGATTTCTCGCTTTAGGATCTTTATTTGATTATATATATTTTCTGCTATAATTAGGTCCTAAGTTGTAGGGATTTGATGTACTCTTAATATCTATATATTGTAAATCTGTCAAGAGAGAAATACACAAAACTTTTTAGAAAAGCTCTTTAATTTGTCGGTTTGAACTCAAGACCTCCTTGTAGAAGGACGAGAGATAGCACATAGTTACTAGTAAGTGGTACCCACATGGAGTTGTGATCCAAAGCATGTCCTTGTGCACGGGATACCCATGTCTTGGATCATAATTGTGCATAATATGGATAGCCCAAAACAAATGAAGTGATGTGATGAAAAGTAGGAAAAACATTGTGAGATGTAAGCTTTGCGGTGAGTTTGTCTTTCTTTATATCCCAAAGATAGGTGAACATGTGCAAGATAAGTCCTCACATTCTTCAAGAATAGAAAGAAAAACAAGCATGGGAAAGTGAGGGCACCTTCCTATGTAGTTTTGTGTCCTTGTTTTATTTACATATCTTTCTAGTTTCAGGTATGAAGATTCGTACCTACAATCAACTGTGATGTTGCCTGCCTTTCGTTATAATGGAAATTGTTTTTCATTTTAACTACTACAACATTTTGCTTAATACCCTTAGAAATTATGATTAAAAGAATCACAATTTGTCTATCACTAGCGTAATGCAAAGTCAATATTTAGTTTCAACTAAATATATGTTACAAAGCATACTGTGATCAAAATCAACGTACCAATCAAGCCTCATCCAAGTACAATAAATTGATCTATGTGCATTCCACATCTCAAAATACATACCACAACCCAGAACATATCAGTGCTCATGGGGTAACTAATAGCACTTAGATTAACGATTTGGTGGCAGTATCCTGAACAGTTATGAATATGCTAAAAGAACTAGAAAAATTAGAAAAAGGCCATAGCGACATACTGATGGTCTTTCCAAATATAATGTGAGGATTCATGACCATGCACTAAGTTTGACAACTAACAGTTGATGTCTGGACTGTAACTGATTTAAAAACAACTCATATAAATGATGTATTATAATAGTCTGTGTAGTATTACGCAAATGAAAGCAAGAGCATACCATAACAGTTTGCCTAAGTAACACATTCAGTTCCTCCAAGCGAATGCCCTTCGAGAAATCCTGCAGGGAAAATAACTCTTCATGTTTCCAAAATTTCAATTTTGATAGTCGAGAGTCACTAGAGAAATTTGAAATGGACAAAGCCATATAACTTTGTGCAATGAGTCTTTTCAATCAAACCAAGCTGATGGAGAATGAAACAAGACCTTTTGGATTGTTATTTGATTATGTAGAAATTTTATTTGTTCCTGGGTATCTTATTATCTAGGAACATCAGTTTACTTCCTATTAAGGTAGCTCAAGTTAGAAGCTTATTTTATTTCATATTTTAGTTGTAGTTGAATTTCGTTTCAAGTAGGAATTTCTATTCCTATTTGGTTTTGGTTTTGGTGTCTACACAAATGCTGTATTAAGCTTCCTAAACTCAGATTAACATTGATGATTAAGTATTGACGATTGAAAGTTGATTCCTCCAAATTTTAAAGTTTATATGATTGAGAGTTGATTTCTGAGTGTTGGGAATATTTCTGCCTAACTCAACTATTATTCGAGCTTTTACCCTACCCCTTTCTTTCTCTACCCAGTTTCCATTCCTGTCCTCCATCATCAATCATATGACAAATTGACAACATTTTTAGCATCTTATGTAAATGGCAGTAAAGTTAGTTTCTGTGTTGTAGTGCTGCTTGAGAGCACTCCGAGAGTTACCTGAAAACCTTTTCCTTCATGAGTGTGGACAAATCTGGCAGCACAGTAAGTTTTTGCAAAATCATACTTGTTCTGCCCAAGTAAACCAGGCCTATACAAAAGCAGCATTGTCAAAAAAAAAAAAAAAATGATCTGCACCAGTTAAGACTTGAGAAAAGCAAACTAAAAGTGTAAAATTTAGAGATGTGAGAAAACTTACCATAACATATTTATCTGATGAAAAATGTCATATGGCCTATGATCACCAAGGAATATACTAGCATATTAGAATGCACTTAAGGAAAACACAAGGTAGCTAGCAAAGCCAGAGGCATAATTAAAAAAAGAATTAAGTAACATTATTTAATTAAAATATACTTTAAAATCAATATAGTCTAAACAGAGTATTGGATAGGAATACAATGATGCCGTTTTGCTTCAAATGAGCATGCTACAACCTGGACAAAGAAGGCGTCCCAGACAGAAGAACTATGCGCTTGACCTTTTCTGCCACATCTAGAACAGCTTTTATCTGTAAACAGAAAGGGTAATATAGTGCGAACTCAGCAATGCCTAAATGCCAAATAGTCTATGCCAAGTACAGTGCATAACTCAGCAACATTAATATATGGTTTTCAAACTAGTTCTTGTGAAGTGCACACATTTACATAACATAGAGAAACGAATATTTTGGTGAAATCTGTACCTCATTTGACTCTGACTTTTTTTTCGAACAACGAACATGGTGAGATTCATCTACTATCAAGAGAGCCCATTCTTGCCCAAGCAAAGTCCTCCGCAAGTGATGAAGCATTGTGTAAGAAATAACCACAACTTTTGGGCATCTTGTTAGATATGCAGGATTGTTGCGATGACCAAAAACTGGATTCAAAAATTAAGTTACATAGAAAACAATGAATTCATCCTACAATAAAAAGACGTGAGATTAGAATTAAAATTACATAGAAAACTGGACAAAGGAACAGATGAAGAAGTTTTTTTCTTTTTTTGGATAAATTACCCCAACCCTCCTGCAGTATAGTGCTAGCAACACTTTGCATCCCCACTTTTGTGAAATTACAGCACGATATCTATAGTTTATAAGTTAATTTTGCTTAACATCCTGACATTCAAATCAGTTTTCAGATCACAATTTCATCGATCTCCGTCCAGAAAAAAAAACATCAATTTTATTAAAAGTTTGCGATCAGAAAATTTTAATGACCAAATTACCCTTGACTAAACAACTAAACCAGCCACCATATCCTCTCCTCTCTCTCCCCAAACACCAGCCATCAAAACACCATTAGCCACCATTATTACCGCCACTCACAACCGCCAAAGACAAGGTTGAAATCACCAGTGTTACAAGTCACTCCACAAAACTATCTTAGAAACTCTAACAACGGCCAACAACAAAGAACAAAAGCCTACAACCACCATAGCAGCAGCTGATGTAGCAACAAACAGCAGACCCACGACTTCCCTTTGTTATTTTCCCTTCAACACACAAGCTGAAGTTAAAATGACACCGTACAATTGTCCCAAACAGATTAGTGTTCATGCATCAGCAAATTCCATCAGAAAATTATATTTAGAGGAAGGAACCGAGAAATTGAATAAATGAGAACCAGTGCTTTCAAATCACCCACACTATTATTATGCACTCAAGAAGTTCATAAAAAAAAATCTCATTCAACCCAAGAGGATCTGCAAGGGCAACTCCAAAGCAGAAAAAGAAAAAGAGTAAAGGAAAAGGAAGAGAGTAAGAGAACAAAAGGAAAAGGATTTGGTGGCTGCTGCATTGGTGGGTGTTGTAGTGGCAGTTTGGAGAAGATGATGATGGTTTGGTGGTTGGGTTTGGTGGCTGCAGTGGGCTGGTGGGTGTTTGGCGATGAGGGTAGAGAGAGAGAGAGATAGGGAGGGAGGGAGAGGAGAGTAAATCTGGTATATCTGTTCAGATGTTTATTTTATATAAGGGTATTTTGGTCCTTTCAATTTTCTGATGACGGGAATAATAAGCTTGTCAGCTGAGGATGTTATCTGTAATTTATGAAAAGTGGATGCAAAATGTTACTGCGATCAAACTATAGGAGGTTTTTGGTAATTTTCTTTCCCCCTCTTTTTTAAGCTCTAATATATGAAGAAGCTGAGGCCCTGATGATACATCAACTCTCACCTACAAAACCATAAACATGAGCAATAACCCAAAAAAAAGGACCTCCATCAAATAAAATATTGTTGGCAATCTATAATAAACACATTGAAGAGTGCATGCGGTCTAATTTGCCTTCGTATTTGTATGAACACATTTCTTCATTTTCCCAATGGAAAAGAAAAACAGACAACCTCATTTTGTAGCTATAGCTACATACACATAGATGAATAAATACAATTCAAGTTCTACCTCTGGTTCAAGTGACCAATAAGCAAACGGAAATATATTCTTTCAAGACTGCTTGTAGTCTAGCAGTATAGCAACAGATACAGCTGATCAACAACCAATAGCCAAGGTAGGGGGAAAGATAAGAAACTTTTTTTCAACAATAAATGTTTCCCTTATAAGAATTCACCAAATCTACATATGTCTACACACACATGTATAGTTCTTTAAAAAAAAAAATCACATCTTATCTGAATTGCCTTCGTTTAATCTATTTTCCATTCTGCTTTTCATATAACCAGCTTCAATAACTTGCACGCATTAAACACAAACAATTTTTGGAGCTAAGTCTGGAATTTGGATAGTTTGCATCCAGTATTTCTGAAAAGCACAATAAGAATATGAAAATTTAGCAGTTTAAATTTCTAGTGGCTTGAGATAGTAAATCATCTCAATATATCCTCCCAACTCCACCCAATACGCAAAAAAAATTTGGTCAACACTTGGCAACAATAAAAGATTGAAAGAAAGGCAAAGCACAAAGCAAGAAACTATTACCAAGGTGGATCTCAGAGGGTAAACAAAAGGGCATCCATCGCTCTAACTCTTCTGCCCAAGAAAACCGCAAAATAGCTGGGCAAACAACAAGGATAGGGCCTTCATTTACGAAACAGCCAGCAATAGCAATTGCCTGAAAACATATAGTATATATTCAGGAGTCATATACTTATGGTGATGCCATTTTGTAAGAACATTTCTAGAATGTATTTGAGGCACAACTATCTTTGATATACAGACATTGATCAATAGACCTACTTGATGTCTTCTTAATTTCACACACATATCATTCATCAAACAAAAGAAAAACGATCTGACATACATTATGCATAACAATTTCATAACATGCCTAGACATAGTCAGTTTTATACGAAAAGATGACAAACTTTAACACTGATCATTATTAAAACCAGAATTATGACAAAATTCCAAGATTAAAGTCTTTAATCACCAAAACCAAACAAAAGTATGTTTTTTGGAGAGGAACTGCTGAGATAATTGCATCAAAATGTTTACCTGTAGTGTTTTACCAAGGCCCATTTCATCCGCAATAAGACACCGACCACCCCTTCTCAAACCAAATCTTAAGCCATCAAGTTGGAAAGGCAAGAGTGCATCCAAGAGCTTTCTTGGCAGCATCCGAATCAATTCATCCACCTTTTCATCGGTGAAATGTTCAGGCCGGCAGGGTTCCCATCGGCCAGTATCAAAAGAACTTGAAAGTCTTTGGATAATATTAAGTGTGGAAAACGGAATCTTTTCGATTTCAATTCTTTTGCAATTCTTTAAACACATCAAAACCGTATCATAGTCTCTGATATCATACACACATGCCCTTCCACCTCCATGAATCTGTGTATAACGAGATTCCATTACCTGCCCACATAACTAGATCACAATAATGACTAAACTGGAGATCATTAAAAAACAACATGATTTTACTCATGCCTTTATCATAATGTCTAAAACAGCAATTAAACTCACCAAAATTTTAATCTTTCTATGATTAAAAAAAAAGCACTTACACTGGATAAGCAAGATTCTAAAGTATTTAAACATTTTTCTTCCCCAGGATAGGGGAACCCCTTCGTAGCCTCTGGGGTGATAGAGAAGGAGTTAGGAGACAAAATTTCGAGGCGGACCCGGAAATGTAGGGGCAATTTGGTATCTGAATCCGGATTGACACGGGAAGAAGGAGGTGGGTTTGGGGAGCATGCAATGGAGGGCAGTTCCGGAGAGAGCTTTCGGCACTTGAAAAGCTTCCATGGGTTTTGCAGTTGTGGTTGTTGCTGCTGCTGATTGATGATGTATGCTTTTCTCTTTTCTAAGGCTGCTAATCGGTTAGCTTCGGATCTCTGCCTTTGCTCTTCTGTGATCTGCATTTTGCATTTTCTTTGAAGATTCTTTAGGGTTTTTCAGAGAGAGGGCGCAGGGTTGTTTTGGTTGTTTTGAAGTTATGAGTGGTGGAAAGAAAGGGGGAAATTTTGAAAGAGTTGGTGCACACGTTTCCCCACACGTGAAAATTTTAACGTTAACGATTAACAATTAACGTTAATAGAAAAAACTAAAAAAATTGGAGAAAAATAACGGTGATTTTCACAGTTCTTCGGTAGTTTATGATGGATCAAATAAAATAGTATTTTTATAATTTTAATAGTGGTATTTTCGTGTGTTTTGAGCTGGACATTCATTTGCGAATTATATTTTATGTTTCATTTTGGTTTTTGATGTTTTTAAAAAATATTTTTTATTTTTGAATAAAAAGGAGATAAAATGAGAAAAAGACGGAAGAAAAAAAGTTTCGACCATTTCATTATTGAGTCTGCATTCAGATTGTTTGTTTTCGTGAGTAAAGTGTATTCATAGTCTTTTTAAATCATAAAGTGGTTGGAGAAGATAGATTAGAACCTAAAAAAAATTAATTTTCTAATTTGATTTGTTTCTTTTTTTTTCTTAATGTGTATTGAAATCATTTTTAAGATTTCAAATGAGAGGTTTTTGGGAAAAAATGATATTGGAAATGGTTTTTTGAGGTCCGAAAATGGACTCTTGATTTTTTAGTGACGATTCCAACAAATTTTAGTTAACGGAAAAAACTAAAAAAATTAGGAAAAAGTAATAGTGATTTTCACAGTTCATCCACAATTTATGGTGGATCAAATAAAATGGTATTTTTGTAATTTTAATAATGGTCTTTTCGTGATTTTTGAGCTGGACATTCGTATGCAAATTTTATATTATGTTTCATTTTAGTTTCGATGTTTTTAAAAAATATTTTCAGTTCTAAATAGAAAGAAGACAAAAACGAGAAAAAGAAAGAAGATAAGAGAAAGTCACAATCATGCTAGGTTCCGGCCATTTCATTACTAAGCTTGCATTCAGATTGTTTGTTTTCGTGAAGAGAGTGTATTTATGGTTGTTTCAAATCATAAAGTGATTGGAGAAAATAAATCGGAATAAAAAAAAATTGATTTGATTTGTTTCTTTTTTTCATAATGTGTATTTAAACAACTTTTAAGATTTCAAATGAGCCGTTTTGGGGCAAAAATGATGTTGGAAATGGTTTTTTGAGGTCCGAAAATGGATTCTCAATTTTACGGTGATGATTCCGAGGAATTCTAGTTCGTCGAAAGTTGTAAGTGGATCATGTATAGCTCGTATATTTAGATCCTGTATTCTTTGATTATTTTTTTTATTGAGAACTTTTACTATATTTTTTACTTTATTGAGAAACTCTACTCTTTGAAATTTTTTTAATTTATAAGCTCTATTATAACGTCACTAATTAGTAATCGATACATAATGCTATCAATTAGTGATCGACAAGTAGCATTATAAAGCAAGAAATCTCGAAAAGTAAAGGTGACATGTCGATCATCGATTAGTGACGTTATAATGAAGGGTTTGAAGTAAGAAATTTTGAATAACATAATATATTAATCAAGTAAAAAAAATAGAGAATATGAATCAAAACCTTATAAAGAATAAGTGGTCCGGATGTGGAGAAAACACATTCTTTAATTGTTCTTTGATGTTTTCTAGGAAGTAAGAATCGTTATCTAGATAATAAAAGGTTTACTCATAAATTCAAACTTTATCATTGCAAACAATACTAAAAGATTTAATGTTTTTCTTGTTTATACACTATTCATCGACTCTCATTTTACTTGGACCGTGTGGCTTTTGATTTTTTTTTCCCTTTTTACATTATAAAACATCCTTTATTTTTAACGCACACGCCCAAGACTCCTAGACGAACTAATCCATTGGGATTTGAACTTATAACCTCTTGAAAAGATCACTACCACTAGCCTACAAACTCTTTGGTGAAACCTTTCTCTTCACTCTTAATTTCAGCCGTTGTTATCTAGTGGATTTGTGAAATTCCATACCTACCCTTGATTGATTCTTCTTTTAATTTCCTTCTTTGACCCTTTTGTTGTCATTTCTTTTTCTTTTTTTCTCTTTGTATTATAAACATCTTTCTTTTCATTCTTGATTTCAATCATTGCCATTTAGTAGATTTGCGAAATTTTACACATGCACTTGATTGATTCTTTTTTTAATTTCCTTATTTGGCTTTTTTTTCCATCACTTTCTTTTCCTTTTCGTCCCTACTTACTATTCAAGCATAAATTACAAATTAGCCCGTCTTGCTTCAAAAAATAAATCAATTAGTCCCTCTAATTCAAAAACTAGTTTTTTAAAAAAAATTTAACTATTTTTCAAATTATCTTGATTTAAAAAAACTAAAAAAGAATAAAAAAAGTAAAAATATAAAAATATTGATGAAAAAAAAAAGACATTTAAAAAAACTAGTTGTAGTTAAGAAAATTAAACAGTTACTTTTTGAAACCAAAATGTTTACTTAATTCATTTATCAAAATAAAAAGGACTAACTTATAATGTACTCTATAATTCAATGGTTTTTTTCATCATTATTTCCACACAATTCTTTTTTGACAAACATCATCATGGTTGTCCGTATAAAAAGTGCATTATGAAAAAAATTATATTGAATATAAAAAATTAGATGTACAATATACATGATCTCTAGAATAACAAGAGTCGGCAATGTCTATAAATAATAATTAAGTTTAAAAGATCCAATTATGGATATCAAATTTGAAAAAAAGAAAATGATTCCATTGACATTCTCTCTCTCTATGTTTTATAATTAATGCTTAAGAATGATGGATTTGTATTTTTTTAAAATAGTTTTATGCATAGGAAAAAAACATTAAGTTATGTAAAAAGATGTTATATAAAATATTTTAGTTAACAATCAAAGTTGAATCGTCAATTTTAGCAATTCAATGAGACAAATAAATGAGAAAACTACATTATAAGTACATCGATTTTGAATTTTTTTTTAATTGAATAACGGGAATACATCAATTTTTTATTTTTTCGTTTAAGTATATCAATTTTTTTGAAAATTATAATCAAGTTTTTTTTTTATCAAATTATCCGTTTATTGATGACATGCCAATCAATTCAAAAGACTAAATGATTATGTTGTTCTTTTTTTTCCTCCTCCCAAATTATTATTATTATTATTTAACTATTTATTAAAAAAAAACCAAAACTTACAACTGGGACGCAAGCATGCCAATTTATATACATTGTCAATCTTTTTAAAAAAACTTGCAACTGGCATGCAAGCATGCCAATTTATGCATATCGTCAATCTTTTTTTTTATATAAAAAAATAGTTAAATAATAATAATAATTTGGGAGGGAAAAAAAGCAATATAGTTATTTAGTTTTCTGTATTAATGATTCAATGAGACAAATAAACGAGAAAATTACATTATAAGTACACAAATTTTGAATTTTTTTAATTGAATACGTCAATTTTTATTTTTTTCCTTTAAGTATATCAATATTTTTTTGAAAATTTCAACCAAGTTTTTCATCAAATTACCGATCTAGGGATGATGTGTCAATCAACTAAGAAAACTAAGTGATTATATTGCCTTTTTTTCCTCCTCCTAAATTATTATTGTTATTTAACTATTTATTAAAAAAAAAAACAAACCAAAACTTGCAACTGGCACACAGCCATGCCAATTTATGTATATTGTCAATCTTTTTATTAAAAAAACAACCAAAAACTTGCAACTGGCACGCAAGCAAGCTAATTTATGTACATCGTAAATCTTTTTTTTTAATAGTTAAATAATAATAATAATTTGGGAGGAAAAAATATAATTATTTAGTTTTCTGTGTTAATTGTCACGTCATCACTAGATAAAATATTTGACGAAAAAATTATGTTATTTAGTTTTCTGTGTTAATGATTCAATGAGACAAATAAACGAGAAAACTACATCATAGTACACCAATTTTGAATTTTTTTAATTGAATACGTTAATTTTTTTTTCTTTAAGTATATAATACTTTTGACAATTTCAACCAAGTTTTTCATCAAATTACCCACCTAGTGATGACATGTCAGCCAACTTAGAAAACAAAATGATTATATTACTTTTTTTCTTCCTCCTAAATTATTATTATTTAATTATTTATTGAGAAAAACCAAAACTTACCACTTGCACGCAACCATGCCAAATATGTATAATGTCAATCGTTTTATTAGAAAAAAAAAAAAACTTACAACTGGCATGCAAGCATGTCAATTTATGTATATTGTAAATTTTTTTTAAAAAATAGTTAAATAATAATAATAATTTGAGAGAAAAAAATAATAATATTATTTAATTTTTTGTATTAATTATCACGTCCTTATTAGATAAAATATTTGACGAAAAAACTTGATTTGTATTTTTGAAAATGTTGGTATATTCGATTGAGAAAAAAATTCAAAATTGGTGTAGGAATAATGTAATAAACCCTACAAATAAATATAATTTATCTAAAGATGATAATATGAGAATAAAATAGATTAAATTACGTCATTTAAGTCTTATTTTATACAACTTCGGTAGTTTAGGGATAAAACATGCCATTAACCAAACATGACCTGTCTCTAATTCAATTGCTTCATCAATTTACCCTTCCTTCTACATCGATTATTATAAATATAATAATCAACTGACTGCTCATTAGTTTCTCTAGATCGCGGAAGAGAGATGTCGTCACACAACAACAACTCGGCGTCGGCGAACGATCCACGGCAGCCATCGACCGCGAAACCGTTTGTGGCACCGATGGTTTCACCACAGGATCTACCCGTTGATTACTCAGGTTTCATTGCGGTTATCCTAGGCGTGGCTGGCGTAATGTTCAGGGTAAGGAATTCAATTCATCTATCCAGCGTATATTTTTGATAATTTAATCATCTAATGCTACTACTAACAAGTTGATTGCTGTTTGGTGCTGTCTGGGTGGCAGTACAAGTTGTGCTCGTGGCTTGCTCTTATTTTCTGTGCTCAATCACTTTCAAACATGAGGAATATGGAAAATGATCTTAAGCAGATTTCCATGGCATCCATGTAAGTTCACCCTTTAGATTATGTGATTTTACTGAGTTGAGGCTAGAATTTTTTATTTATAGATAGATAGATTGTCAGATCGAGCCATACTAATATTTCGCATTTATGAAAGTCACATTGTCATTATCATATAATTGGAGGTTATGGGGTTGTCTACTAGCGTCAGGCATTGATATTCATCAGAACAAGGAAAATTCCTACTAATCGATTATGAAGTGGTCAACACAAGCTGGTGTGTCGTGTTTCTGTAAAAGTTATGCTTCTCATCTGATTTGTTTCCTTTAATTTTTAGACATGCTCTGTAGCTTTGAGTTCTGCCTTTGTTGTCTCAATTTGACGAGTCAAAATTTGAAAAACAATTTTAAGTCCTTGGATCACTGAATCGAGTAAGAGAACCCTTCTCTTTTGCACTAATTAATGAATTTTGCTATAGAACCTGCAACAATGCATGTTGGGTTCCAAAAAGCTCTCTTACCAAATGGTGATCTCAATTTACGTAAGAACCCAACTTTGGATGCTTGGTTGGTTTTTAAAGCAGAACGGTTATAGATACTGGCTTTTTACAAAAAGAGTTCTTGCACAAGGCCAATTGATAAGAATATAGTGGTGTTGATTCTTATGTCTTCAACCCATAGAACCACCCTAGATGTAAGGGATACGAGGATCATTCTGGCAAGATTCCTGAAAGGTCACTCATCATAAATTGATGTCACTGTAGGAATGTGAACATTGTTCTGTCAAGAACCAGCAGTTCCAACCTTTAGTTTTATTTGAACATTGCTTGAATTCAAGGACTTCAAAGGGAAATGGGATGTCTTAGATGCTGTTGCTCTTGGGCTTAGTCAGCCAGTGCTCATGGAAGGTTGAACTACAAAAACTTTGTTTGTTTTGAATGCAATTGGTTTTATGCATAAGAACGCTCTGTGTTTTTTATACTAGACTTCAAGAAGGCTCGTGAATTGGTCAAATAGTTATTTTCTTGATTTGTTTTTGGAGAGAAAGGGTTCTGGTGTTAAGTGGAGGAAGTGGATTAATGGTTGTCTCCCTGTGGCATTAACGGTGATTGTGATTTGAGTGTAGTGTGGCGTCCAAGGTTGCGTATACTTGTGAAACATTTTTCAGTTTCTAGAAAAAATTTGTAGGAAACAAGAAACTAAATAAAACTTATTAACTAAAAAGAAAAATATTTTCTTACAAACTCGTTTTTTTCTGTTTATCTAATTATCTAGAAAATTGAAAAACATCAAAATAGTTGTTTTCCAAATTCTCTACTATGAAAATAAGGGTCTTGGTTCACTTAATGTTTGGCCCTTGTTTTCTTTCATTAATAAACATGTCCTTTTAATTTTCCATGGGGAGATCTTTGTAGAATAAATATGAAAACTAGAGTGGAAACAGAAAAACTATTTTCTGAAAGTAAACACAACCCAAGTTTTTGTTCTTATTATGTTCTTAGTAGATTAGTGATGGGAGATGTATCATAATAGGGATGCAGGTGCATTAATAATATTTCTATTATCCTTTATGACTTGAGAATGATACACTTCTTTTCCTGGAGTATTACAAGTAGAAGATTATAGTGACTGGGCACTAGCCTTTGCAAACGAAAGGTCCCAATATATATAATTGCCAAAGCAGTTGGTCAATTATGAATCCTACAAACAAGGTTGGAAAAAGCTTAGAATGACCGCACCTTTAATCTTGATTCTGTTTTCCAGGTCTCGACTAACACAAATGGACAGGGCCGGTACATAGCGTATATCAAGCTATATGAGTAACAACTACTACAAGGTTTACGCTTCCTCTGCTAGAGGAAACCCCTTACACTTCTAGATATAGGACACATTATCTAAGTCTCCAACAATTAGGTTTTCAATAGAACATATGTATTTAATAATCCTACATTAAAAAGAAAGAAAGGAAAAGTAAGAGTATTAGCAATTCCATTAAAGCACATTTAGCACTCACTCACCATTATCTTGGATTCTAGTCATAGGATACCAGATTCCGTTCTCAATCTTGCTGACAAAATATACTACTGCAAAATGGCTAAAAAGGTCAAACCTTCCCATAACTTTAGTTTGTTTGAAAATTTGTCTTTAAATTTTGATTTGTGTTTTGACTTCTCTAAACTTTTTTTTTTAAAAAAATTTAGTCCATCCAATAATTTTCTTCTGTCACCCCTCCTTTTTTAAAAAATCAATTCTTGATATTTTGATAAAAAGTTTTGCTCACTTGTTAAGAAAAATCCAATCCATTTTCTTGAAACAAGGTCGGAAATTATATTTGTTTATTTTGAAAACATTAAAAATGTAGAAAATCAGAAAAAACAGAAATTAATTCATAATGATCCAAAATTTTTTGGAGAGCTCTAGATAAATCTCACTAACTGATTTTCATCATAGGACGATTTATCTAATTGATACTATATATATATATATATATATATATATATATATATATATATATATAAATGATAGACAACGGAAGGATAGACTAAATCTAAAAAAAAAAAAGTTCCGAGAGGTCAACACGCAAATTAAAAGTGTAGGAATTGATTTTTAAATATATATATATATACATATATAAATGATAGACAACGGAAGGATAGACTAAATCTAAAAAAAAAAAGTTCCAAGAGGTCAACATGCAAATTAAAAGTGTAGGGATTGATTTTTAAATAAAGTAAAGTTTAGGGGAGGTTTGGCTCCTTTAGCCCTACAAAATTGGTTCTCCACAAGTGGTAAGACCTACTATTCTCTTTTGTTTGTCTACTTATTATGCCATGTGTTTTTAGATTAGAGTCCAAACTACAGTGAATAACTAATATACTCTGTATCACCCATATTTCAGAAACATAATAATGGTACTTATTATGCCGTGTAATTTTCAAATTATCAGTATAGACAACAGTTGATTTGCTAGTTAACTTTTGAACATATTTCTTTTCATTATGAATCCATTTTCCACAAATATTTTGCAACTGGCCACTCAAGGCTTGAGTTTTCCTTCATGATGCCATCAGAAGCCAAATGAAAATCCTGATTTCTTTTTATTTGGACATGCAACCTGATCTTTAAGAGTAGCATTGATGTTTCACAACCTTTAACTCATGGGTCTAAAAACTTGTGCGACCTATCACGGCCGGTCCCAAGAATTGGAGTATTAACTTAGCTATTGTAGGCCTAAAAGAACTTGCAAATACCCACTACCTTTGAATATCAGGAAAAACAGCAGGTGAAAAATCCTGACACAAGGCTTACATTTACAAGTGTAATGTGCAATACCAGAACTTTTGCTGCTGAGCAGCTAAACGAACTGCAACGTGGAAAAAATGGATATATGCAGCAAAAATCTGGATTGCGACCTTTCATGTAAAAGAAGGACATTTCGTTTTTTTTAGTGAGTACTTGTTATTCATTAGTAAACAGCTTTCCAAACAGTTTCCAGTACTTTACTGTTGTACCAGTGTCCTTCATTACTCTGATTGCATCGAGAGCTTCATTGAAAAAATCTCCTTTAAAGTTGATATGGTAATCGTAATTCACAGACCAACATTTCATACTAAAGGCATATTTGGATTTTGTTGAACTGAATGTTTCGTATTCTTTTCTTGGTCTTTGTCATGTAAAGGCTAGAGAAACATTCATCTGACAATGATGAATATTTACAAAATTAGTAATTTTGAATTTTAATTTAATAGTTTATCAGAAAGGAATTCTGGGATCCCTTTTAACATCACTTTGCTTCATCATGTACTCTATTTTGGTTGTTTCTTGTCTGGCTTGCACTTCTCCATAATCAAACACTTGAAAGACCATAGTATAGTTCAAGGGATGTTGTGCACTTGATTTTTGAGCTTGGTAACACATTTCACTTGGCAATTTTATTTTGCAAGTAAAGAAAACAAGGATTCTCGTGTATGAGTGTTGCAGAATTCGATATCCGCAATGGCATTACTGTTTATGTGAGTTGTGAGTTATTACAAATTGCTATTATTGGGTTTTCAGTCTATCAGCAACTAATGCAGAAGCATGAACTATTGAGGTTCTTTTCCTATAACCTTTTAGGAGGGCCATCTGTAGTTGTGTTTATCGTTTGTGGTTATTGCCGGTGCCAAGGCTTCATTTTATGCTTATCCTAAAAGCGAGGTCATTCTGAATCTTTGCTTTATAAAATATCAAACCTTGTTTAAAAGACGAGGTGAACATAAAGATTTTCCAAAGCAGAATTTGGAAACATAGATATTTTGGATTAACAAGGTAGAAGTCTTGCTGTCAAGAAAATAGAATTAAGATACATGTGTTGGGGTTCAATGAGTTTTTAGGTCCTCTCTTTTTCTATATATGTATGTATGTATCTGAGGTTGTATGTATGTATGTATGTGTATGATAACCTTGCTCTGTTAGCATAGATCCAGCTGTACAAGACACTGAATTTGATTCTGAACGGATTTGAGTTTGCTTTGTGATTTTACTTACTGGTTTCAAATATGTTTGAAAACTAGGTTTGCAATCATGGGATTGGCTACAAATTACTTGGGCCCAGCTCGACCTGGCTCGCAAAGTTGAGTGAGATTCCTTCAATCAGAGATTGAAAGAGTAATGGCGACGGTAGGATGGTTGTTTTTTATTGGAAATTATTATAATCGGTTGTAGTCACATGGGACTAATGGACTTGAAGAGAAGCTATATGTGTCGAAACTTTGGTGAGGATAACGTTATTTTCTTTATCTTTTTCCTGGATTTGCAATTTCTATATCATAGTTTGGGCAGCTTTGTTTTGTTTTCTGCAATCAAAGAAATGTGTTTAACCACTTGCCAATCTCTTTGATTTGGAATTTCGGTTTGATGGCCACCTACCATCTAGTATTTTTGGACTCCTCCATGGTTTAATCAAATCAAGGAGAGTTGCAATGTAACTTTGCTGATCTTTCATAATTGCTGAAGGAATGGCTCCTCATCTCAACAGGTTTTGGGTCCAAGTTACTAAAAACGTGTTTCCGTACCTAAAATCCTACAACATTACGAAAAACTCTAAAACAGGTGATGGTTTTCTTGTTCCTGTTCAAAACACTCACAAATAACTATTCATTAGGTGGCATTTTCATGATTTAAATCAGTGGTGTTTTCGTTAATCTAAGTGATTTTTTAGTCATTTAGTGTGCCTTGTTATGTCTTGCTAGATGCATCAGTCTTCTGTTATTTTTTCCTTTTTCTAATGCAATCTAAAATTCAGATTCAAACAAAGCAAAACAAAGACTACAATTTAAGTAATGAAAATTTTAATTCCAAGCTAAAAAAACCATATAATAATTACACCAAATCTAAATAAATTTATGTTCTTTACTCTTTTTTTTTTCAATAAATTATGAATCAATTCAGAATTCAAAATTGGAGCATTTTTGCATGGAAAAAAAAATGGGAGAGAATTCAACAAAAAGCATTTGTTAAATTTTATTAAATAAATCAAATGGAGGGTTTTTTTTTAAAAATAAATTAATGAATGAGGTGCTCTAAACTTGAATCTAACTGAAGAACTTTTTTTTTTTTTTTTAAAGAATCTTTATTATGTTAGATTTAAAGAGAGAAAGAAAGGAAAAAAGAAACCATTAAGGAAGGAGTTGGAAACGAGAGAAACCAAAAAAATGAATTATTGAAGCATATAATTGATTTTATTAGAAATTAATTTTGTATCTATACACATAACACTAACCATTTGTTATTAATTTTTTTTAATAATCTAAAATCAATTTCTTTAAAATAAAATAATTAAAATAATATTTTAGAAGAACCATTCAATGATTTAAATACAACTTTTTATATTAATATCATAGATTATTTTATGAATATATATATATATATATATATAATCTTCTCATCATAATTAAATAAGAATGAAAAAAATATTGATTTGTAAATTTTTATATTAATTATTATTTTATTCTTAGTTCAAACTTACAACACTGTTACAATTAATAAATAAAAAGCAACACTCACAGTTCAACTTTAAACTATTTTATTTTATTCTGGAAGAAAAGTTAGAAAGGATGAAGGTCAAACAACCTCTTTATCAGACGCTTGCTTACAATTAACTTGTAATTTTCTATAACCAAACACAACATAAATATATAAGAATCTAAGAGGAAATGTTACAATACAATCAATCCTAGTCTCATGGATGGTAAAAAGTGCTTGAAACCAAAATTGCTGACAGTTTTGCCACATGCCGGATTTTAATACCAGGACCACTAAACTTCCCCTATACCCTCAACCATTTCCACACGCACTCCTAAAAAACGCTTTTACTTTTGCTTAGCCCTCAGCTTGGAGCACCAAACCTAACAACATCTCTCTCTCACTCTCTCTCTCATTCCATTCAAAACCCTAAGCTAAAATTATAAGAAATTTCAAGTGTATAGATGATCTTTCCATTTGGAGCTCAAATTGAGGCGTCAAAGTGAAACCGTGAGTCCAAATTCTCTCTCTACGATCCCTTATTTTCTCTCTCTTAAATTCTAACCTTAGGTTAGGTTTTGTTGCTTTAGGAATGGGCAACTCTGTTGCCGCTTGTTTCGCTGTTTAGTGCTACGAAGGGAGTTATCGAGTTTGGTGTTTCTTGATCTTTTGTGAATTTGTTGATAAAATGTGAGATTTTAAGTTAAAATTAGGTTGTTGATAGAAAAGAGGTTTTGTGTTTCCTTCTTTTTTTTTTTTTTTTTTTTGGTTTATGTACTCTTTCATACATTTATCTGCTTTCTTCTTTGGCTTTGAATGTTTGGTCCTGAATTCACTAGAAGAATTCAGTCAGAATGGACTTTAATGAGTCTCCAGTGAATTATGATTTTTTCGGAGGTCAGCAGCAAATTAGTACCCAGCATACTGGGATGCTGCAATCTTTGCCAAGACAGCAGTCTGGGATTAGTGACATGCAGCTATTACAGCAACAGTTCGTGCTTAAGCAAATGCAAGAAATGCAGAGGCAGCAACAACTTCAGAAGCAACAAGAAGCAAGGAAGCTGAATTCAATGAACCAGGTCTCTGCTTTTCCAAAACAGGCAGCTGCCAATACCTCACAGGCTTTGATCAATGGCATTCCTATTCATGAAACTTCTAATTATTCATGGAAGCCTGAGCTTATGGCAGCTAACACAAACTGGCAGCAGCAAGGTGTGTCGCCAGTTATGCAAGGATCGTATAGAGGGCATGTATTTTCCCCTGAGCAAGGCCAGGGAACACCGCGCTTGATGGGGATGTTTCCTCAGCAGGTCGATCAATCCCTTTATGTTGCCCCTATCCCTGGAACAAGAGTTAATCCAAGTCAGTATCCTCCTGTCCAAATGGATAAGCTGTCAATGCAGCAGATATCAGGCAGCAGTAATTCCTTAACAAGCAGCAATCAGTATACTGGATTTCCAGAGCAGGTTAGTGTGCAGGATGGAACTTTGGTTTCTACACAGGGACAACAGGGGCAGAATATGGGTGCTTCTTCTGATGGTCAGGGTATAAATAGTGGATTTAATTTGGAAAACTTGCAGCTAGTGAACCCCCAGCAAAGCAACGGGTCAGTGCAAGAAATTTGCACTAGGCAAGACCTGGCTGGTCCATCAAAAACATCACAAGAGGAAACCACAATACAGGTTGCTTCTTCTCAGGACGTGGCTGCCCTAGATCCAACTGAGGCAAAGATTTTGTTTGGTTCAGATGATAATTTGTGGGATGCCTTTGGCAGGGGTGCCAACATGGGTTCTGGAGGTTACAATATGTTGGATGGCACAGACTTATTCAGTTCATCGCCTTCTGTGCAAAGTGGAAGTTGGAGTGCTCTTATGCAATCTGCTGTAGCAGAAACTTCTAGTGGTGATACAGGGCTACACGAAGAATGGAGTGGTCTGACTTTTAGAATTAACGAACCTCCAGCTGAGAATCAGCAGACTCCTTCTGTGAATGCTAGTAGTAAACAGCAGTCAAGTTGGGCTGATAATAGCTTGCAGTCTGCTTCTTCCCTGAACTCTCGACCCTTCCCTTTGTCTCATGAAACCAATACTGGTATGAGCCATAATAACATCCCAGGGGTGCAGCAATCTGGAGTCGATACTTCACATGAACACATGGAGAGGTTGCAGTCTGTTTCTCCTCATAGACATATTCAGCAGTTTCCGGTAGATAGAACCAAGTGGTCTGATAGGAGCCTCATGCAAGAAGCAGCTGTTGAAGGTAGTCAATTTTATGGCAAACCTAACCATTCTTCTGATGGAGGATCAAATGCTAAAAGTATTTCAGGTTCTTGGGAAAATCAACAGAGCATGCCATCATATAGCTCCAACGGCCAACCATTAAATAGTCAAAGTGGCTGGAAATTTATGGATTCTGTGTCTCCCAGCACAACTGTTGCTTTCAAAAACCAGGGGAATGAAAACACATTCCAAGATTCTCATAATGTTGATAAAAAAGGTCCCATGTTTGAGGTAATGGGTCACGGTGCTGGTATATGGAAGAATAATACAATTGCTGAGTTGGAGCATGCAAAATCTGCAATTGGAAACCTACAGGTCATTCCACTGGCTCCTCCATCCCAACAGTTGCTAATTCCAGAGCATGCCTTTTCTTCTCACAGCCCCTCACTAGCGATTGGTTCTGTCAGTTCAACTCAAGTCATTTCGAATACAGGGGAGAAGGGTCATACATTGTTGGCTCCTACGTCCTCTGTTCATTCTTTACCTCCATCCCGTGATACATCTCATGGACATTTGAGGAATACTACTTCTGGAGCCTTGGTGCATGCTGGCAATAGTGCCCAAGGAAAGTTTTCTGCTGCCTTTTCCCCTAGTTTCCCTTATTCAAAAACTCATCTTCCAAATCAGCACATGCCTGATACAGGTGGAAGAGCAACAGCCTGTGAATCTGTTAATGAATCTTTCGATAGATTTGCTTCTCAAACAAAACAGATGGAAGAATCTTTTGACAGAGGTCAAACTAATCAATCAGCACGACCATCGGTACCTGACACATCCAGGCATACTTCACATAATGATTTTGCCTCTTCTGCTGAGATGCCCCAGCCAAGGGACGACAACCAAAACCATGCAAGAGTTTCTGCTCAACAATTCCCAGGGCTGGAAGCTGCTCCAGCTCCTCAGCGTTATGGTTCATCACAAGATGGTATTTCTTCAAAAATGCCACCTACTATGTGGACCAGTGTTCCAACTCAGCCATGTCCATTTGGCAGTCAGCCATTTCAGACTCCATCCAATATGTCTATACCCAATCTTCAGTCACATAACAGTTCAGGCATAACTTTCTCTCAGCCGCAGAAGCTAGAAGATCAAATTATGCAAACCGGATTGAGCACTCGAGCTGAATCTGGTGAATGTTCTATGAATTCACATGGTTTTGTTGGGAAAGAGCAACCATCAAAAAGAGACCCCTTGCAGCAAGTTCTACCTGAGAATGATGGAGCCCAGATGACAACGAGTGCTTCACATGAGAAAGAATCTGTTGTGAATCATCTTACTGCAACGCCTGCTTCAAACCTAACCAGTACTCAGAAACAAATTGAAGCTTTTGGCCGATCTTTGAAACCCAATAATATTTTGTATCAGAATTACTCCCTGCTTCATCAAATGCTGAGCATGAGATATGCAGAGGTCGAACATGGTAATAGGAGTTTGAAAAGATTTAAATGTCCTGATGGTTCGGTGGATGCTCATCTGGTAGGTAATCAGGGAGTTCAGCAGCTTTATGGACACAATAATACGGTCAGAGATGAACCAGCAAATCACACTTCAATACTCCCTGGAGATTCCAAGATGCTAAACTTTTCAGCAAAAACAGCTGATAATCAGGAAATAAATGCACCTTCAAAGGATATGCTTGCATTTAGTCGGAATGATTTTCAGAATTTTGCCAATAATACTGCAGTTTTTGTCAGGGATGAGCATTCTCAGATGAGTAACCAGATGGCTCCATCCTGGTATGGAACCTTTAAAAATGGACAGATATTGCCAATGCATGATGCCCAAAAAGCTGTTACCATGAATACTTTGGAACTGCCTTCCACAGCTGGAAAACCTTCTGATAGATTGCATGCTCATAGTTCGCCTGAACAAGCAAATGCTGCTGCTGCTAGTCAATTTGGTACTGTCCAGAAAAATTCAATCACTTCATCTATAGCATGTGAGAATTTATCCACTCCTCAGTCATTGCAGCCTGATTCTGCTTTTGTGAGTTTGGTGGTTACAAGACCAAAGAAGCGTAAAAGTGCCATATCCAGGCTTGTACCATGGCACGAGGAAGTCACACTGGGTCCTCGAAGGCTTCAGAATCTCAGGTGGTTGGCATAAACTATGAATCCCTTTTCTATCTTATTGATGAAACTGATGCATCTTTTAGTTATTTATGTTTGGGTTATCTTATTTTGCAGTGCCAAAATTCATTGCTATTTTTCTTTGATATTATTTGCAGGGCTGATTGATTGATTCATTTATATTTATTTCCCTGGTGATTATAACATATGTAGAGTTTGTTGTTTGCAGTGCGGCAGAAGTGGTCTGGGCTCTGGCAGCAAATAGATTGACTGAGAAGGTGTGCTCATACCTAAAGCAGCTTACCAGCTATATTCTTTCTCTCCCTGCCAACCCCCTCCTCTCAGGTGTTTTACAATTTTCTCAAGTACAATTGTATTCATTTCTGACAACAGGTAGAAGATGAAGCTGAAATGGTAGATGACGGACTGCTAGTCCCCAGATCAAAGAGAAGGCTTATATTGACTACACAGCTTATGCAGATACTCTTCCACCCTCCTCTGGCATCAATTCTTTCTGCAGATGCTATTTTACATTATGAGAGTGCTTCTTACTTTGTTGCCAGATCAACACTAGGAGATGCATGCAGCACACTCTCTTGTTCTGGAAATGATACTCCTGTGCCTTCTAACAGTGGAGACCTGTAAGAATTACTTTTTTATCATCTAAAAGTTTTCTAGCATGCTTTTAGGGGCATTTATTTGCAACAATGGTAAAAATCTTGGCCTTGCAACCATAAGGTTGCGGCTTGAGTCTTAAGAGCAGCCACTTCATGCGAAAATGCTAAAGGATTGGGCTGTCTCTAAATTCTCACTCAAGGACCTCGCTTTGGCGGTCCATAATTAGGTATTGGCCAATTTGTTTTCTTGGAATGCTTTTTACTGGAAGTAAGATTGATAGTTTTAGGTTAGAAATATCATTAAATCTATATGAGTACAAAAATTTTTTTTTTTTTTTGTTTTTCCTTCTCAGCCTGCCCGGGAAGATAAAATCATCAGAGAAGATTAGGGATCAATACTTCTCAAAAGTCATGGAAGATCTTATCAGTAGAACCAGGAAGCTGGAGAATGATTTGTTGAGGTAAACCTTGGTGGTATTATTTGATTGCTTACTAACTTATTCACATCTTTGCCTCTCTTTGATATTTTGCTTTTAATTTTGGTGTCTGACGTGTTTTATCACATCCTTCCTCTATATGTCTACTTATGGGATTCTAACATTATTGATGTTTCACAGCCTCTAGTATTCTTTTATTTTTCTTCAACAAAGATGGTGGCTTTTTTTTTTTTTTTTAATTGTTAAGAATGGCCAAGGAATCGTTTGTGTGTGTGTGCGTGTATAAAACAGAAGGATTTGCTCAATAAATCTTGAATTTTATGCCCAGAAACAAGTTTTTGAGAGATGTACTCATTAGAACGAGAACAATTGAGTTTGCTGGAACTTGACTATGCAGATGTAGAGTTAGCTTGCTTATTGTTCGGTTTTATGCAGGGCATGATTACAGTTTGTTTTACCTCTCTGTCTTTCTTTCTTCTTTGGCATCATCCTTAGCCTCATAAGTCAAGATAAAACATATTTGGTACAGAGATATACTCATTGGTTTTATTATTTGCCCTCTGATTATGCAGATTGGACAAAAGAGCATCAGTTTCAGACCTGAGAGTGGAATGCCAAGATCTAGAGAGGTTTTCTGTTATCAATCGCTTTGCAAAGTTCCATGGCCGGGGTCAAACTGATGGGGCCGAGAGCTCATCGTCCTTAGATGCATCTGCTATTGCCCACAAATCTTGTCTTCAGAGATATGTTACTGCACTACCCATGCCTAGGAATCTTCCTGACAGGGTACAATGTCTTTCACTTTGATAATTAATTATTTGATTTTCTCTCTTCTCCACATGCTGCGAACTTCTTTGATTGATTTTCTTCTACGTCATATACTGGCCCCTTGCTTGCCAGAGACCATGCCATGGGAATGTAGGAGTTTGGATGCTGATTGTCTCCTTAAAAGAAAGAAAAAGAAAAATGGAGGCTGTTAAATCTCTTAATGTAGGCCATTGATTTCATTATTGAGAAATATGATCTGGTCTTGTATACCTAGTTGAATTTGTGGAGATACATTGGGGTTCTTATGCAGGACAAGTCTAGGGAAACTTTGAGAAATTGGTTGTTTTTTAGGCTAAGTTTGTAGAATGTGGTCTTTACAGGGACTTACAAATTGAAAACACAGGTCCGAAATTAAACAACAGTAAGAAAACAGGGTAGAAAGCTACTAGCCTCGCACTAGTAGATTCAAGGAATCACTTCTTGATTGAAGCATCACACTTCCTCAATACTTAAGCAAAGGCTGCACTTATTCAATAGAAGTTCTCTGTTACTGAAATTGAAAGATTACAGGCACACACACACACATGCGTGCGCATATATAATGCTAGAGTTATTCCTAATCCTAAACAAAGTTTAATTCTTGAACAAGAAACATTAATATTCCTATTTTAACTAGGAAAGAGATACCTAAATAAGAAATCTAAATTTTCCTGGAAGACACTTTGTTTCCTAAATGGCTATAAATTGTTCCTCTTTGAAAGAAATTTGCTGAAATTATAAATTTGCTCCATGCTTAAATCCCTAGGCTGCTTCGGGTTCCCCACCATTTTTTGTAGTAAATGGGGAGAATATTTGCAGTCTGGTTTGTGTAATGATATTTACATAGCTGAAAATTTTAGTTGTGTTCTTGCTTAAGGCTCTGGTAATTGGTTTCTACTTTCTATTGGTTAATAAGGATTGTTTGGAAAGAGGTGGTACATGAATGTTGTGGTCCAAAGTATTGAATTTTCAGTATTACTGCAAACTGTACGAATTGGTTGGAGTTTCTCCATGATTGTCGTACACTTCTTTCCCAGAATTTAAGCACCAAGGAGATCAATATTGCAAGATACTTGTGATTCTCCATAATTGTTTTTCCAAATGCCTTTAGTCTTCTTTTTCTTCTCCTCCTTTTCCCAATTTTTCCCCCGTAGGTGAACATACTTTTTAAGATAGTGCTCTTTTGGAGAGTTTATTCCCGCTAATTATGTACTTAATTATGCTCAGACTTAATAAAAAATTTCTTTCTCGTGATTTCTCAATATAAAACAAAGACATTGGAAACTTTATGGAAATTCATGATGCTGACACATGGATAGTATGTAAGCATTGTCTTGCTAGTGGTTGTTCTGTTTGAAAATTTGTTTAATTTCTGTTATGCTTCTGGCTGCTGCTTCTTCTTCTTCTTCTTCTTCTTCTTTTTGTTGAAGGTTGAAAATTTTACTAAAGATCAAATTGCAAACTAAGAAAAATGCATAGTTCTGATTTTTGGGTTTTGGTTTCTTTAATATGTGCCATGGGGGTATGTATTGTGAAAAGTTATAAAATCCCTTGCATGTCAGAATTTGATTCTGCCTTCTCAATGCAATTGCACCTCCTTTACTACCCTGTTAAACCTAAAAAAGGGAGTGAAAATGAGGGATGAGGAGCACAGCATTTCTGAAAGTCCTGAAAGAATTGATGGGATAATGAACTATTCAACATACAAGTTGGTTCAATTATCTACGGGGAATGGTTGATTTAGAGATTGGCACCTTTTATTTCAATTCTTTCTTTGAGTAGAATTGCCAAACCTGGTTTAGTTGCGAGCTTTTTGTTGTTTTTATCAAGTGCCAATTATATGAATATTTCTTTGGAGAATGCCAATTATTTGAATGGCAATTTTTTGATGATGTAATCATTTCATTGAGTAAACGGGCCGATCTTGTGTGGTTGCAAATTTTTCTCCAACTTTAACGAACAAACCTGGTTTGGTTTGTAGACTTACTGTTCTTTTTAAAGAAATTTTGACGAGATTTCTGCATTTGTTTAACATGAGAATTATTCATGTTGGGTTTATGGGGCTCCCGGGTTTAGTCTTACATTCATCAGTTTCAGTATTTCTGGCAAGTCTTACACTTTCTTGGGATCAATGTACTGTGCATCAGCCATGCTTATAGTTTTGACTTATAGGAACAGTTTGTTATCCGTGCTATATGTACTACGTTGTTCATTTTCTTTTTAGCTTGTCCGGAAACAACTGAATTTTATTTAGTAATCTATTTACATAGATTTTTTGGATGTAAAGTTTTAAACAAAAAATATGAATTAAATTAATAAACTGGATTATAGGTGATAGAACTAATACGATAAATTGAACCATGGCTTTACAGTTTGTTTGATGATGTTGGGAAACTTGCACCAAAAAAGATGTAGAAGGAATGTTGAAGCTGAATTTTTTCATATATGTATCTTTTGTTGATTTTTATATTTGCTAGCATCCTTTGCTTATTGCAAAGTTGTTACTACTATATGGGCATTAGATTTTTCAGTTGTTGGGAGTTAGGGTTTTTTTTTTTTTAATGGTTAATGAGTAGCTAGTTCATTTTCATTTTGTAACAAAAGAAACATTATATCATTAGGAGTCCTTAACAATATAATCAAAGATCCATGAAAGCAGCAAAGATGTTATTTCATATGGAAAGGTATTTTATTTATGAAATATGAAATACTGCAAGCAAATGTTTCAGTAAAAAATATAAATAATTAAAGTTTACAAGAAAATGAAGAGAGAGAGAGAGAGAGAAGAGAGGGATCTAAAGTCCAATGGAGCTAGAGAAGCCACACATTTGAAATGTTACTGAAAAAAAAAAAAAAAAAAGCTTGTGATGGGATACTAATGATATGACTACAAATATTTTTCATTTGCAAAAGCAATATCGATCGAGACATGTAGATAATCAAAGAGGATTATTACTTTATGTGGCATAATTTTGTATGAATAAAAAAAAACACATAGCATGTGAAACATTGAATTTTTTTTTTTTTTATGACCATGAATAAATACGTAGATGGGAGGTCGAGAGGGAAAATTGAAAACGACAATGCTAAACATTGTCATAACTTTTTAAATGATAATATTTTTTGTAAAATATAGTCATGCATAAAGAAGCATTAAAATATTTCAAAACCACTTTATTTATTTATTTTTTGAAGGGGAGAAAATGATTTATTTCATAAAAACCACATTTTCAGTTAATGGCGTCGAAGAGGTTGACTTTGCAACCTCTTACATAGGCAGAAACACGATATTTTCATCATCCAAAATGAAAAAAGTTTATTGTGACATAAGGTGAGGAATCCAATTGTGCTAATTAATCAAGAAAACTTGATATATATATACTTTGCAACCTCTTACATAGGCAGAAACACGACATTTTCATCATCCAAAATGAAAAAAGTTTATTGTGACATAAGGTGAGGAATCCAATTGTGCTAATTAATCAAGAAAACTTGATATATATATATATATATATATATATATATATATATATATATATATATATAAGGCTACATTGATATGTTTTTAACATGATGCTTATGCTTCTTAAGCAAATGATATTTCTCTTTAAGCTGCAAACAATGATAGTAATATTACCTCAACATTAACATAGATATAATCAAAGCTTGCATGCTTGGTTATTACTCCCAAGGTGTTTACTATTTGATAAAAATCGAATAATTGAATGAAATTATACCGAAATATCAATTTCGATGTGTTTTTTTTAGAAATTAAAATAAAAAACTGAAATTATTTTCAGTTTCGGATTCGGGTTCGGTTTTTTTTAAAAAAACCAAAATTTTTAATATATATATATAAGTCGGATCACTCATTGCATTATCAAATTGAAAAACACTTCTTTTCTAGATACACTTCCTCTCACGAGTTTCGTACGCGTGCTCTTTGTCTCTTTTACAAGTATGAATGTATACAAAATAGCAAAGACGTTGATAGATTTTTTATCGTTTCAAATTCAAGCCTTCTTAAGTAGATAATTTATTATTTGTTTATCTACCAATGCATTTGCTTTTTTTTGCATGCAACTTAGTTTCCTAACTAGTAGTCCTCAAAGTAGAAAAAAAATCTAATCTAAACGAGAGATGTTAGAAACTTTAATAGGATAAACCATTTGTAGAAAAAAATAAAACAAGTAAAAATCGAATTATCGAGCATCGAAACCAAAAATATTTTAAAACCGAATCGAAAAATCGAATAACATTTCGATTCGGCTTCGATTTTTTTTTTAAATTTAGTTAATCGAAAACTCGTCCAAAATATTTCGAAACCAAACCCAATAGTCGAACGAACACCCTAATTACTCCTAGTAATTAAAACAAAGAAGGCTTGCACACGGATTTTTGGCCCGCAACCATTCACTTCAATATCACTAACCTAAGTAGTTCCGAGCCTATAAAAGTGCAACATCGCATGTAATTAGTTTTACTTGTTTATGGTGACGAGTAAGCTAATAGGAAAATAAAAGGGAAGCCAATAGGAGTTTATATAAATTGCATTTGAGTAGAAACATGCTTAAATCAAATCAATGAATAAACACCGTAATTTTTTTTTCTAACAATAAAAATAATAGTCGTAAAAGTAATGCAAGTAAAAGATAGAATACTTACATGCAAAAAAAGTTTAAACATGCTATACTTTTAGGCCTTTCTTAGAACCAATAAACTCAATATTACTACTATATTCATCTCCATTTTCTTCATCTTTGCTAGGCCTTTCTCCCACCGACTAGCTATATGGTAAAAGTTTAAATTTTTCCTTACAAATAATATCATTTGACACCAACCTATAAACCATGTTCATTATCATGTTCACAAGTTACCAATCTCCAGATACAAAGCATCACGTGACCCGACACTTTAAACTCATTAGAAGCATGGCCATAATGCCTTCTTTATATATTTATTTTTGTCATTCATTAAAAACTCTATTAAATCATAAAGTTTTTTTTTTAAATGATTCATCCAAAACGGGCAAAAAACTAAGCCAATTGACCCAACAATAGTGTTACACTCAAATTTAATTGGGGTATGATAGCCTAACAAATTAGTCAAGGCTCAATGAGGCTTTGGTTACAAAGCCTATTTTATAGGCTATTAAGAGCCACTAGTGCACCCAATGTTAAACAAGTCCATTCGAAAAAAAGTCCAATAGAGCTTTATACTTGAAAAACAAAAAGACCTAATATAATTCTAAAAAGAATTGCATCATAGGCAAATGACGTGAGAAATCAAATCTTATTTAAAAGAAAAGACTAATAAGAAAGTAACCGATTTGAACGACCGGAGCATAAGCCATAAATAAGAGAGATGTGAATATTGCAACGAATGAGTGAAAATACCAAAAGACACGAACCATTGCAACCCAAGGCAAATATGGAATATCGTAGCTTAAGACAAGAAGTTATGAGATATTGCAACATAAGAACGTGATCGATAAAGAAGGATGTGAATGCTATAACTACTAGCCGCAACCAAGCAAAAAGAACACATAAAAAACACATACAACAACAATGCTCTTTGTAAATTATCGAATTATCTTTCAAGTCATTTCAATACTTGAAACACAATAGACTATACACTATAAGAAAATCAAAGATTAGCATTGAAAATTAGTAACGGATGCAAGACCATCGCTATTTAATGACGGTTTTGCGAGTAGAATGGCGACTAATATGAAATGAAAAGGTTAGAAATGGAATTACGATGGAATGTTAGCAACGGATAGTGTTCCATTGCTAAATTGCACGAGAAAAATACATACCCAATCTAGTGACGGAATAACAATTCTATAGTGAATTTCCATTGTTGGGTTAACGACGTTTGCTTTTCGATGCAACCCTTAGGTTCTATCGCTAGTTATTCCGTTGCTACTTTCATTTCTAAAAATTTTAGAAAATGAAGTGATGGTTTGAAATTTGAATTAGCAACGGACACTTAAATCCCTTGCTAATTAGTGATGGATTAACGATGAAATCACATCCATCGCTAATTCTTAATCCTTAAATAATCGGAGCCCTTTCTTCCTCCTTATTTTCTTTTTTCTCTCCCTTTTCCTCCTCTCTTTCTCTTGCTATCATCAATCGCATATCCTCAAAACCACCATACAACGCGACTCCACTCCCTCTTCAGACATACTCCGGCCAACGTAGCTCTCCTTTCTCCTAAAAAAACCTAGAGTTTCATCTATCTCCTTACTCTCTTTTGTTGTCTCCAAAGGTTAGTTCTCTCTCTCTCTCTCTCTCTTTTTGTACCCTTTAGCTATTTGTGTTAATTGCTAAGTTATTTTTGATTAATTAGTTAATTTGTAGATTTTGTTAGTTGTTAAGATTTTTATAAGAAAATATATGGAAAAAATAATTACATAATATTATAATAAATAATATTAATGCCACCAATAATGACATCGCAACTCCATGATACTACACCTAAACACGTATAAGCCAAAAATCTTCTTTAGCTGAAACCTTTATTATCACAAACAACCAATTCAAGCACACAACAATGCAATCAACTTAAAAACCTCAATAAACAATTCGACCACAACAACAATCAATAGCAGAAACCCAATCCTCAATAATTTTAAATACAAATCAACATTAAATTATTCAACAAATAGTTTAGCTATAAATTCAAAAGCAAGCAATCCCTAGTTTGCATAAAATAAGATGAAACCACAACAATACACAAAAGCTAAAAAACATGAAAAATAGGATAATGTCGAAACCTAGGCTAGACTAATTAGAACTTCACTAAATCTTAATCAAACTTTATTTATGATTAAGAGATATGATTGGCAAAGGTTCAATTCTAAAAACCCTAGCTCCAAAATCACATTTGCCACACCTCCCTAAAACCCAAAATAAAATAGAAAAATTCCAATCTTAACAAAAATTAGAATTAAGTCAAAACTCTTTAATAATTAATTCAATTCAATACAATGAAAAATAAAGAAATGAGAGGTCAACTTGAGGTTAATAATAATTTTGAGGTTTAGATATATAAAATAGCATGAAAAATTGTTACACTCTTGTGAAAAATAAATTGGTTATGTTGCTTAAATATTTCGACCATAATGTGGTTTTGGGGCATTGTTTATATTCATTGTTTATTCATATTTTGTATGCATACTTGATTGATGTAGAACATGTATTTGTTTGATTATTAATGTTACATGTTCTTAAGCTTTGAAAGTATGCATGTTGAGATTGATGCTAATGCATTGCATTTTTATTTAAATACATTTTCATATCATAATCATGAAGTAGGTTTTACATTCATGATTTTGATGAAAGAAAAAGAAAAAAGAAAGGTTTTGAAAAAAGAATGGCTAGGTTCCTTCTTGAGGTTATGAGAGAGGAATAATAACCCTCTCTCGAGGAAAAGGAAAAGAAAAAAAAATTTATGGGAAGGTACTAAATGCTTTTGTGAATTTTTCACAATTGCATGTTTTAAAAGAGAGCCGATTATATCTACAATTTGCAAGATGCGTCCAAAGAGGAAAATGAATTCAAAGACATGAAAAAAGGTTTTTCTAAAAGTTGCATCATGTGCATTACATGCATTGTATATATTACACTTACTAAGCATAGCTTACCTTTGTTTCTAATGGTGTAGGAGGAAAGAAATATGAATAAGGACCATCGTCAAGATATATCGAAGACTTGCCTTTTTGTGCGCTTTTGTATATTAATGAGTGAGAAACCTTATCTTTGCTTAAGTTAATTTTGGTTATGTATATTGGTAATAAGTTAAGCAAATTTTGATTTATAATAATGAATGTTATGGTTTGAATGCTAAGTATAGTATTGTGTTAAGTAATATTTCACTTATTAACTTAATTAGGTAATTGGTCATTTGAATGATCTAAGTGAGGTAATTGTTTAAGGAAAGGAATAAATTAACGATAGAAATGGAGGTTTAAGTATATGAGTTCCTAATTTTGTAACTAAAGAATTCATGATAATAAGTATGGAATTGGAATGGTTTGGCAAAAAGGTTAGTAAGGTTAAGGTATTAAATGGAATAATGACTAATGAATAAATGTGGAACCAAAGTTCCTAGAGTCCAAAAATTGTTTTAAATGATCAAAACTCTAGTTAAGAGTCCAAATGAATTTATTAAATGCTTAATTGAATTCATGTAGTGAATTTCTAGTCTATGAAATTTTTATAAAAATAATGACATTAAATCTTGATTCAATGGTTACTATTCATTAATTATTTTCTAATTAAATACAATACATGATAATTAAATTATTTTTTATATGAAAATAATGTCAAATAATCCTACTTTATGGTATGGAATATTTGGAAATGAAATAATCATAAATTAAATTTTATATGAATTTCTAAAAGGAATTTAAGAAAAATAAGAAATATGATTCAAATTAGTTTAATATAAGGTATTTTGTTTAAATGATTAAATTGGATTTCAAGAATTTGGATTTTGACCAAAATATAGCATTTAATATTTCTGCATATATTGTAGGAATATTAATTGATGTTAGTTAAATTTTTTAAAAAATTTATACCTAAATTTTATTTAATATGGACCTATTATTTTTTTATTAATTAAAAACTTTATATAAAAATATTTATTTTATTAATAATTTAGAAATGTTAAGGGAGAAAGTTTGTTGGTTCATTCATTGTAGGCACCAACGTAAGTAAATAAAATCTACAATGATAGCGAACGTGATTTGAGAAAAAAGTGATGGGCAAAAACGTAAATCGAGTTTTTAGTTAAAACCCTAAGTTCCTAGAAGCACCAACCTATCGTTTTAGAATACGCTCGCAGCTCTGTGTTTTTGGAGCTTCCGCAGCGCAGCAGCGAAGAAAGACGAAAACACACAAAAAAAAAAAAAAAAATGGAGACAGCGAGGACAGTGAAGGACGTCTCTCCTCATGAGTTCGTCAAGGCCTACGCCGCTCACCTCAAACGCTCTGGAAAGGTATTTTTCACATTTATTTATCTTTTAACTAAATCCCTTTCGGATCTGTAATGTCACACTTCTTTCACGTTTTTGACAATTTACATGTCTTGTAAGTTCTGTGATTTTTGGCTTTTGCTTCCTGAATCCAGTCTTCTTCTTCTTCTTCTTTTTTCCCTTTAATTTCACCTTTTCTTTGTTTATATCTGTTGTTATTTGTAGAAACGTGTTCACAAGTTCTTTTGCAAATCTTCATGTGTCCGTAAAGGAGTTATTGTCGTCTTTTTTTAAAAAAAATGTAATTGCCACTGATTAAGGATTAGCACAACTAATGATATTGTTTCTTGTCTGCTTGTACGGCTTGATACCACTTCTCTGACAAGCTATTTATAAAATTGTTTTAGTTTGCAATTGCTTTCCCTTTTAGGCTAAAAAGAAAACCGTGGAAGCTGTCTGATAGGTCTAGTCTCCAGCCTCGATTCCTTTGCTTGCATCCTTTACTTTGTCAATATCCCTGACATGAATAGTGATACGCAAGACATGGAGAAATCTATTCCTCTTGAGTTGCACAATTAGGAAAGTTGATAATGTACTTTGTTGCTGACGTTTTCTGGTATCATCTCCACAATTGGTTTAAATTTTAATTATCCCAGTTGTATGAAAGTGTAGGATTTAGTTTTGACTCCTGACTTCCTCTTATCTGCCAATGCTTCTATATCGAAAAGTTAATAAATCTGTAGTATTTCCTTGTTGCTGGATTTTATTTAAGCTTTTCATGAATGTAATCGATCTGAGCTTTTTTACTGCCTTTTCTTTAACTCCTTGTTTTAATATAGGTGGAGCTTCCTCCATGGACTGATATTGTTAAGACTGGCAAACTAAAGGAGCTTGCTCCATATGACCCTGACTGGTATTATATAAGGGCTGGTATGTGTACTCTTTCTTTCTCTCTTTCATGCCTGTATGCATGTGTTGCACACTCTGTACCATTACATAGATCTTCTATTCTTATTTGATGGGAGTGGCATTGCAGCTTCTATGGCTAGGAAAATCTATTTGAGGGGTGGTCTAGGTGTTGGTGCCTTTAGGAGGATATATGGAGGAAGCAAGAGGAATGGAAGTCGCCCACCTCATTTCTGCAAGAGCAGTGGTTCTATTGCTCGTCACATTCTTCAACAATTGCAGAACATGAACATCATTGACCTTGATCTGAAGGGGTTAGTCTCTTAGTCTCCTTCATAGTTTTTGAGAGTCACTGAATCATCAACTGGATTCTTTTTTTTTTTCCTCCTCTCAAGTTTATTAGCCTTGGGACTGCCCTTTTCTTTTTATGGGTTATTCCATTTATAGTAAGTGGTTCCTAAGAAACATCTGGTTAAGGTCCTGCCTTGTGAGCTTAAGTATTATTTAAGAATCTCTTCCACAACTTCTCCTCAGTCCCACCCCCTGGTTTGTTTTTTCGGTATGGTGCGTTTACAACAACTTTTGTTTTTCTGTATCAGTGGGAGAAAAATTACATCCAGTGGCCAGCGGGATCTTGACCAAGTTGCTGGACGTATTGCAGTTGCTCGTTGAGTGGTTTGCTAAGGAGGGGAGACAGTTCTGAATTATTTAGAAGCTAGTTGTTTGAATGAGAGTGGATATAGAGAAGACTGTTAATTAATTATCTTGTTTTTTCTGGCCCTTTTCTTGCGAACATGTCTTATATTGTATGTGCTAGTTATTGTTATATTGGAAGTTCATACACAGGGCAATCTAGGCTTGATCGTATCCTTTTGAGATGGTTATTCTCTGCTGATGTTCTTGGTGAAGAGTTTACTTTTTTCGATGAATGTCAGAAGGAACCTTTTCAAGGGAGTTGCAACAGTACCTGCTGGGTCTTTTATACTGACTGCATGCTGTTCTTTTAATTTTTCTCGTATTTCAGTCCAAGGTTTGCTAGCTTTTCGATTTGCATATGAATGACATGGTCTTTGACATTTCCAAAACAATAGACTATTTTATTTAACGAAAAACTGTTTTTTCAATTGAAACAAATTTGTGTGAGGGTGATATAAATTCAATTATGTGATATAAAGTAAATTCTTACATTTTGTGGAGGATTTGTTTGGTACTTTCGGAGCATATTCTATATAAAAATGGAATCCATTGGTGGTTGTCATGCTGGTCTTCCTTTTATGATTGGGAGAGTATTTCTCTTAGAATGCGCAAAAATAACTAGAAATTTTTATGTTCAATCTTTGATTTTTTTTTTTGTTTTATTGTTTAATTGATATATATATTTTTTATTTTAGTGTTTTAGTGACTGATCATTTGAGAGTAGAAAATATTAATGTGTATGGAATGATTTGTCATGCAGTATTTTTTTTTATCTAACACATGAAAAAGTGGAGCAATTAAAAAGATAAAAAAATTATAATTAAATTAAATCATTTTAAATAATTGGAAAAAAAAGGAAAAAAAATGGAAAACATGGGGTTGATTGAAAAATCGTGGTCAGAAGAAAGAAAGAAAAAGGACAAAAAAAGGACGATTGTAATAAATAAAAAGAGACAACAAAAAGAAAAGAAAAAGTTTGAAAAGGCGATAAAACGAAAAAGTGTTATCTTGGAAGCATTAAAGAGGCGCGATTTGGAGAAATGAGAGGACTTTAGAAAAAATTAATTTTTTTTATTACATTACGCTACTTGGTTGGATAAAATATATGAATTTTAAAAAATCATTTCAGTTTAATAGTTTGTATTATAATTTTTTAATCAAAATTTTGTATTTAACTATTTCTTATTTATGTTTTTCATAATTTTTCTTTAAGAAAAATGATTTATCCTTGTTAATGCATGGATTATTAACTAAAAGGAAAATTAAATAAAAAAATTTAAAAATTTTTAGTATTTCATAAGATTGTGTCGAAAAACTAAAATAACAATTAATAAAAACTTACATAGAATTAAATAAAATTTTTTTTATTTTTATTTTTATTTAATGTTGATGAGAATATCGATTTTTGAAAGAATGTGAATTTAATTTTTATATATTTATTCACGAAAAGAATGAATAATATTAAAATACAAAACTATATTAATTTGAATAATTGAGTGGTTAGGCCAAAATATAATTTTAATTATTTAATTTAAAATAAATTAAGTTCAAAATATTAATTAATAAATAAATAGTAAATGCTTAATGTTGACGAGAATATCGATTTTTGAAAGAATGTGAATTTAATTTTTATATATTTATTCACAAAAAATTGAATAATATTAAAATGAAAAACTATATAAATTTGAATCATTGAGTGGTTAAGCCAAAATATAATTTTAATTATTTAATTTAAACTAAATTAAGTTTAAAAAATAGATAAAAAAATAAATAGTAAATGCTTAATGTAGTAGTAGTTGCACAGTTAATTTCTAAAAACATAATGATTCAATATTTTTTTATACATCATAACTATACTAAGTGGGTTGAGAGTTTTCAGCATAAAAAAAAACATTATAAAAAAGAAGAAATTAACTTGCAATGAATATAGTGACTAAATTTAAAGTTAATAAACTAAAATAAAAATTATTACAAAATTAATTTCGATTAATTTTGATTATATAAAGAAGAAACAAATAAAATACGTGAATTCTTTTTTTTTTCCCTTCTTAAATAATTTTTTATTTCTATGTTATGCATGACTAGTATTTGAATATAGGCCTTACGGGCAAAACAACTATCTTATTTTTGTTTTTTACATTTGAATGTCAACTATTAATTAACTAATTTGAGTTTTTTTTCTAAAAAACCAAGAAAAAAATATTTGAAATACACTTTTAATCTAAAAATAAAATTTAAAAAATTATATATATTAATCATGCAACTATAATTTAAAAATTATTTGAAATACACTTTTAATCTAAAAATATATTTTTTATTTCTATGTTATGCATGACTAGTATTTGAATATAGGCCTTACTGGCGTAAGAACCATCTTTTTGTTTTTTACATTTAAATTTCAACTATTAATTAACTAATTTGAGTTTTTTTTCTAAAAAAACAAGAAAAAATTATTTGAAATACACTTTTAATCTAAAAATACATTTTAGACAAATTATATATATTAATCATTTCACTATAATTTAAAAATTATCTAAATCTATTTTTTAAAAGAAAAAAAATCATGTTCTAAAAATTTATTTCAAAATCCATACATATAGAAAAATAAATCAAAACTTTTCGTAAATATAATTTTAAATTAATTGGATAAGAATTTAAAAAAATGATAAATTAAAATAGTAAATTTTAAATAATAAAAGTAATTAACAAAAAAATAATAAAACAAAATGAGACCAAATCACAATACAATTGAAGTTTGAAATTGAAAAAAAAAAGTGTATAGAAAAATTGAGGACCAAATTGTTACAAAAATGTCATGAATAATGAAAAGAATAGTGATATGTGAGTATGTGAATAGTATTATGAATAGTAAAAAATCATTTTGCTTTAGTGTTTTTTATAATAAATCTTTGAGAAAATAAATCTTACATTTCGGTTGTTTTTTGATCTTTTTTCTTAATTTCTTGTTTGATTCTTTTGATAAGAATGTTGTGTAATAAAAATTTATATGGATGCAAACGATTGATGTGTTCTTCAAAGGTTAGTGGTAGGGTTATCCATTTCTCTATATGGTTCTTGTCTTTTAATATATTTGAACTTTCAAAAGTGGTCCATCATTTTACTTTTTTTTTTTTTGGTTAATTTCAAAAAACATATGGATTATATTGAGTATCATTATGATGTGCTTTTACAACGAGTAGCTTGATATGAGCTACATTTAAGATTAAAAAAATTATAGTAAGAGAAGTGGATCCCGACACGTTTTCTTGCTCATAAAATCGTCGATACCACCATCCATTTCTATTGATAGAAAACCCATTGGCTCGATTTAGTTCTCTTAATTAATTTAAAACCCAACAAGAATGCTGGTTTTTATCTTAATTAAACATTAAGTCTTACATGAGATTGTCGTTAGTATATAAAATCTAAAAGACTCATCAATCTCACATCTTACAAGATAAAATTGATTAATTAAGTCATGAAATTTCAAACTATGCTATAAAAATAAAGAAATGCCAAAATAAACGCTAAACAACTTCAAGAATCATTTCAAATTTTACGAGAAGTCAACAACATATATATATGCAAGACATGCATAAATTTCATGCTAAAATCCTACTACGAACCATTCCCATTTATTAATTACTTAAAACAAACCATTACCAAAATTGTAATAACGATAATAAACTAAAACAATTTATAAATAAAATATGAAATGATATCCTAAAGTGTTGCAACTTGAAATATGGGTAGACATATGCCGAGCATACAAACATTTTAGAAGAAAAAGCCATATAAAACCTAAATTTCGTTCTTTTTCTTTTCCCTTTATTGCTAGAAAACCGTTTCAACCAAAGCTTTTTTATGCCTATTTTTCTCCTAGTTTCTTCCCATAAATAGCTACAACTAAAGTGTGGACCCTAGCCCGGATATCCCTTAAGTGAGAGCAATTTTTGCATCTTGAAGGTGCAAAAACAACAACAATAATAATAAAACATGGCTGAAAGAACCCTTACCCCTCATGTTGTTTTTGGTTTTAACAGTCTATGGATGCCTCTTTATCTTGCCATTTTGAGTGATTACTTTTATGCTTCAACCCAAAACAAGGCTAACACACCCAATTTTAGTTTGTAATGAACAAGATTAAAAAGAGAAAGGGGAGAAGAATACATGTTTGAGCTTGGTAAGGGTGGCTTGTTATCTTTTTTCTCAACAACTTTGACCCTTCTTTTCTTTGTGACTTTTTCTTTCTTTTCTTCTTTTCTATAAATCCTCTTTGAAACTCTCCTAAAACTCTTTATGCTTTTCTCAAAATCTTATCTATTTTTTCTACTTGAACCTCATTTAAAAAATTTTAAGCTTGACTTTTATATTTCCCTCTTCCTCCTCTTTTGGCCTTCTAGTTTTGCTTAGGAGCATCATGGCCCTTCATTTAGATGCTAGAGAGGCTCCTCTTTCATTGTTATTTTATAGGAGGGTCACAACTTCTCTTTTTGTTCTTACCTTTAGAGCAGTATCTTTTGAGGCGTGAATGAAGTACAAAGATAATAACTAGTATTTGGTTTTAGTGTGTTGGTAAAGCAATAAGTACAACTTGCAAGGAAAGCGGGCTAGATGAGGGTTTTTTGGATTGTACAAATCCCAGCAAGGTAATGTTCCTTGTGGACGAGGTTGGTTGAAGGAAGAAAATGATGAGCAATAGGATTTTTGGTAGGCTTACATTAAAAGCAAACAACGAGTCATTCGAAGGAGTTGCATTTAAGTTGGTTCCTATATTCATGCGTTTTTTTCAATTGAGTCCTTACCCTTTCGAATTTTTTTTTTTAACAATTGAGCCGAGTGTATTTCGATTTCTTTTCCTTCTTTCGGTTTTAATCCTTCTTCTCAATTTCATTCAATTATGTCTTGACTAATCTCAATTTTTAGCTTCTTTCTTTTAAATCGTTCAATTGCATCCAAATCCATTAATTTCCATT